CAAATAGAGGCTGAGTTTTTTCTATCCATTCCTCCTGGCTCCTGTTCTGGCCCGGGTGAATTATTGGCCAAAACAGAAGCTTGGGCTAATGCCATTACCTCACTGCAATTGAAGCGTTCGAACCAATCAGTTTCAAGCCCCAAAGGTGCGGGCTCAGGATGAATAAATGGAGGAATTACACGTGTGGAGGCTGGGAGATGAGAATGCCTCTCGCGGCATGATATGTGGGTTTTTGCCCATCAATGGTGCTCTCGGATTTGGACCAAGTCATGCCCAGTTACAAACAAAAATTGGGGCACAGTTGTGGCATACAAAATCCCTCTAAACAATAAAAAATGTTTTTTGATTTTTACCCAGGGTACGATATATGTGATGGTTTTGGAAGGTAGTTTCCGTGTAATTAAGGCTGCCGTATTCAAAGACGCTTTCAAACCAGCATGGAATAATGGCAGTGGCATAAAAATGCTCCAATTTTCCCTTGAGAAGGAACCTTAGATCTTTTGCCAGCCAAGGACCTCACGTACCATGCCTGGCTGCTTGTGAAATGTCAACGGCAGGTAATGCGTCCTCACTGTTTCCTGTTTATGCCCCAGAAGTCTAAGCGCAGCAGTTTCCCTTAAGACCGCCCCGAGGGGGCCCGTGCCCCATTCCAACTGCCTTGAGTAGTGCGACTTGCCATCTGTCTTTGCCCGGAGCTTGTTGATGCCTCGTCTGGTTGCAATTTCCATTTCTTTTGTTGCGGCGAAGAAAAGTACAGAAAGAATCTCGACTTGAGAAATTGGACAGCACACATCAGGACGGTGTGAGAATGATATGTGGTTGGCATGCTGCGTGATAAGCGTATGTAAATTAGACTGAAAATCCCATTTGTATCGTGAAACTTAGCAAGGTGAACGTGCCATGTTTTCAGTAAAAACTTTTCAGAATAGTAGCAGAATGTATTCGAAGTCTCCAGATGTCCGAGTGTCGTAAAGAAGTCTAGTAACAGCCGTAAAGCTCACACTTTAGCTTTATGTATCTACTAGCAATAAATGGAGAAAAACCTTTTAATCCAAACCCCCAACTCGTGGATTAATAATCGGCGAGGAGATGTGTCAGGACAAGAAACTCATAACTCAGGACAAGTGGTCCTCAAGCGTGTCCCGCGCCTGAACGGGACATAAACATAAAGGAATAATGCTGAATCGTAACTTTCCGCTGCCACTGATAACTGATTCTGGACCAGCAAGGCCATATTGACAGATACCATGGCAAACAAACGAGAAAACTAGCCAAGAAAGATAGAAATAATGAGAGTCATCTACGATACGACTTCCACTTATGCTCTGCTATTTGCTATATGCTATATGCTGTATGCCACATCCATTCGACCAGATTGAGCGCGCTTCATGGGGCATGAGCAACAGTTTGTCTGGCCGTCAGAAATCCACCCACGTCCCACGTTCCGCGCCCCACGAGCTCCTTTTATAATCTTTTAAGGACCGCTCTCCGTCGCGTCTTTTGTCTATTTGCCGCCTGCCGCCTGTCGCCTACCCTTGGCTTTGTTTATTTTCGTGTCCAAATCTCTTGCCCCCAAAAAGGCACTTGAGCTTAAAGACCCTTTAGAAGAAAAAAAGAGACAGAATAAAGAAAACAGTTTCGGGAATAGTTTGGTTTTAAATGCCATGCCAAGAAGAATAATTGCATTGTATTGATACTGTCGTCTGGGGTCTGCTTGGAGATATTTATCCTTTCCAAGTCAGAGAGTTCTATTTACATTTAGATTCTCTTTGTAAGACTTTAAGTCTTCAACACTGTAAGAGTAATCATTTTCTGATAACATGACAAGTCGTTGCATCTGCAATCGTGGCTTGAATGGCGCATTTCATTTAATTAAACAACCTCCAGAGAGGATGCACTGGCTTTTGGTAGCATTCATCGCCATCTACAGCACTTAGAGCCAGCCATCGCTTACAGCCGGGACTCTAGCATAGCCCTGACAGATTGCAATATGGGTGGGTGAAAGCCTGATATGGCTTTTCCGACGGCTGCAAGTTCTCGCTGCGCCCCTCTGCGTATGCGTAATATTTGCCCAGATTTATGCAATGCTATTTTCCAACTGAACAGGAGCGCGGAGGAGAGGCCGGTCGGGGAAGGAAGTAATATTTATACGAGATATGGTTATGGCCCGCTCATGCATGGCATGTGTGGAAACTTTGCGATTATGATGGGCCCTGGTTTTGACCTTGCATTTAGTGTTGCATGAAAGTATTACGCACCGCCCCTCAACCTCTCTTTCTATATGCCCCGGCTCGACCCCGATTCCTTTCAACTACTCGATGCTCAGTACTTGTAAAATGAATTATTGATCCATTAAGACGTTCCACCCACACAGTGGGCCACCCACACAGAATTAAATCTCCAAAATGTATAACTTAATGGGCCTAAACGGCTTAAAGCACCAAAGGACGGGCAGAAAACCAGCAACCATTGACCATCTTTTCAAGTTTTCGGGCTCATTTAAACTTTTTTGTTCCTCACTCACACTCAGTCACTGCCTCGCAAAGAAACTTAATGTGGCAGTAAACTCTTCTATATGTGTGTTATATGAGTTGTTACAGCACAAAACTTTGCGAAGCGCAAACTTTTCAAACAGGCTGTAAAATGTCCCCACTTCCATTATCAAGAGTCGACAATTTGTGCGAGTCACATGTGGCTCAGCGGCTCAACTTTTGGCCTCTGAAGCCCACATTTGCGTTAAGCAGATGAAAATTATTATTACAAGGTATTATGAGTTTAGGGACAGGCCCCCGGGCACCTCACTAAGTTAAGTCCTGAAGTCAAGTTAGGAATTAAGGACTCATTAAGAGAGCTTTTTAACTAAGCAAGAGAGTAGTTCTCAAGCTAAACAATCTTCCTAATTATTTTTACTTTGTCTCGGGCTTGCAAGTTAAAGTTTTGGCTTAAATTGTGTTTATTCAAATGATACTCAGAGCCAGATGCAGATGCCAGTGAGCACCAACTGTGGAGTGTCTTGCCCAAAAGCCACAAGGCAGCGGTTGTAGCCATTGGCACGTGGCTAAGGTTGCTCCTCCGAGGGCCTGACGGCGAGCACCAAACCCGAACCCCATGGACAATTACTGTCTCATCTGGGCGGACTTCGACTCGGGATCTGGCAGTGGCAGTGGCAGCTGGCACAAAAATTAATTAGCTGTGGAACTTAACCGAGAAAGCCAAATGCGAAGGCGAAAAGTTCAGGCTGCACAATGGACTCGTCGCGTCTTGGCTTTACTCGGAAAAGGGATACTGGGGATGGGTCTGATTCGAGCTGAAGTGCATGGCAACGACTCTTGACATTGACATTCCCCGACAAGACACCCAATAGACTGTAGAACGGGCCTCTGTTCATCGCAATTGATGGCGATTCTATTTGCGATTCGAACCAAAACCCATGCTAAATGTGTCAACAATTGGAATGGCAATTACAGCCAGCGGGCAAGTACATAAATTTAGTCACATTACGGCCATCGCACATGCAGCTAATTGCTGCAAGCTGTTGACTGGCCGGGAACGTCCACTGGCCGGGCACATAAATTGAAAGCTTTATGCATTCTGGTGTGTTCTAGTGGCTGGCCCGCAATTTCCTTAAGGGAAATTAGGAAACTTTGCGCTATCTGGTCTGCCGTACAGTTGCTTTTTGTTTGCTGGCCGCGGCTCCTTCTTGGCCATAGCAAATATTTTCCCAACAAACCTTTTGTCCGATGTGGCGGCCATTGTTGGATACATGTGTCCCCAGTCCATGGTGCGCCATAGTTGACTTTTATTTATTGTGGGCCATAAAAAAGCAGCAGGCAGCAAACAAAGTTGAAAGAAACCCAAAAGGAATCTAGAACAAAATGCTAAAAATTGTATACATTTGTTTGAGGTTTTCTTTGCGTTCGCTTCCCTCCACGGTGGTCTGGATTTTCCCGCATTTTCACTGAAAACTCAAATTTTATGCTAGCCAAAAATATCTGTTTCTCCTCAAAGCCACACTTTTTACGACTTTTTCCTACTTTTCGGACTTTTTTGCTTTGCATTTCTACAAGCCATTTGTGTATCGCCCATTCCATTTTATTGTTTATTTGTCCATTGACAAGAACATCTTGGAAACATACTCGTATTTTATGTTTCCCCCCAGTCCCCAGAAAACTCTTTCGCAGCCTTAGAGATATTGGAGAAAGTGCTCCCAGGTCGCCAGTTGAGGCTTCGGCCGCTGGATTGCACTTCTGCGGCCACACACGATCATAAAAAATGTTTGATAAATTTATTGTCGTGTGAGATGAGAAAAGTTAGTTCGATGAATGCAGATGAGGGACAGGTCTGAAAAGTTTTGCCGACCAGGTCCAGTGTGAATTACAGAGACTGCATATGGGGTAACGAGTTTCTTAATTAATTGACAAAGTTTAAGATATACAAACATGTTGGGAAGCTGTTGGGCTAGTTCCTGAAAAGTCTCCATAGAACTTAAAAAAGATGGTACAGTTTCTCGGAAACTGTTGTCATGGCTTTGGACAAGCCCTTTAAAAAGTACCATGAAATTATTGTTCTTAGAACTTGTATCCAGACAATGTGGGCGAAGATTCTGATACTTAAATTTCCAGTCTACTCATTTGCAGAGAATTATAATTCCCTTTGAGCCACCTTTTCCAATCTTGACTTGGAAACTTTTCCTTTGTCCTATTTTGCACTCCTACCTACATCAATCAACGGTGCACACCCAGAAGATTACACTAAATACAATTTGCAGAACATTAAGCACGGGTCCCCAACGGATCTGGGAGCCATTATGCTAATCAGATAAACCTTTTTGTCGGCCACAAATGAAATAAAATATTTAACTGGGTCCCGGCACAGATGCCAGGTACCAATAATGGGAATAAAATGGACATCGTCCCGGACAAATATTCAGAGTCCGGACTCTGGTCCGGCCCGGGAGTTCAACGTCCAGCGGAGTGTCTTTGAATGGATTTCCAACTTACACGAGTCTCGAAACCCACTCCGATAATCGCGGCAATAAAATTTCACTGCGACACATGTAAATCAAAACAATCCAATGGGTTTCAAACAAGCGCGAAGTGCCCTACAAAGTGGCACATTTTGGTGTTTTTTCGACGCCGAAACGAAAAACTTTAGAACCAAGAACTGAGAACCGAGAACAGAGTGCCGCGGAGGAGCGAATATATCGTCCGGGAGACGTGCGTGCGGCGCCGCAATGAAAAGCCAACTGGAAAAGCGTGAAAAACGTCTGTGCTGCTGCGGCGAGCAGCTCGAAACATCTCGGTCGGCGACGCTCGGCTTTTCCTGCGCGCCTGTCGAAAGTGTTGCCAGCTTTCTGGCGCCGACGCCGACAGCGACTGCGGCCGATCAGCTGTTTGGCGGTCGGAAAATAGGATCCACCAGAAGCAACTGGTGCGGCTGGGCGGGGAAAACAGGGTCCACTTGGCGCCCACAGGAGCAGCAACAGCTGGGCGACTTGTTGAAGTTGCAGCCACGAGAGAGGAGGCACGCTCTCTGTTTTTTTTTTTTGCAGAAACTTTGCGTTTTCTTTTGCTTTTCCGCTGACTTTTCCAGTGGAACCCATTCGGTTCGTTCTTATGAATGAAAGGTTCTAGTTTGGCTTTTTGGCGCGCAAAGTCCGTGGAGGAGCGCCAACCTGCCGAACTTTTTCCTGGTCAAAGTTATGGAATTCACAGACCCATCCATATGGCAGTAAACCCTTTTTCGGGTCGGATCACTTGGCGTATGAGTAATAAATCATGAAATGAAATGATAAACTGCGCCGCCCACTTTCTCACTTGCGATTTTGTCGGTTTTCTCGGTTTTGGGGCCAACTACACACATCGTACACTGCCATTACATAGTCGGGGCGCAAATGTGTGTTTAAAATCCCCTAGAAGTGCTCGTAAAACGTTCGTTTATCTTATTTGGAGGCGGTATTTATTTACTTTTTATTCTATTTTTCACATTTACAACGGATTCACTGGCTGGATTTATGGGGGCCCGAACCGATTGAGAAGAGGGCTCTACAGGGCAGGGAAATTTATGTTTGCATTTCAATTTACTTCGGAGCCCAGAAGCCCCTACACATTTCGGGCATTGTGTTTAGCATGTTGATTAAAGTGAGCTATTTATGATGCGATTTCTTCGGGATAATCCCAAATGGTAATAAAGAAAAACACTGAGAACCATCTGTCTGGCGATTCAATCACCAGTACAAGATCTATAATTCTTTCTGCAAATTTAAATTTCTAGCATCTTTAATATTCTTGCTGCCGTAATGCCATGTTTGGCCTCGGACTGAAAGGAACTCTGATTGACAGAGCCTCTGGGGGTGGAATTAGCCCCCCTTCGAAGGAATATTCGGGACAGCATTCCCTTTGCCGAATGCCGAATCATCCTTCAATTTATGTCACATTTCGAACAAAAATCTGACGTTTTCAGCCTGCACCTCGTGGTGTTATGGGGCTCTGCTGCTCGGGTAGGTGGTGCCCCCAAGGCGGGTGCCTCAATTATGAGAGCCTAAGTGCCGTTAAAACCAAATCAATATTTTTCCTCTTCTCCGACCGGAGCGTGCATGGCATGAGGAATGCGGAACGTTGACAATGTCCTGAATTCCTGCGAATGGGGCAACCATTAGATATGCGAGATCCTCCTGCGAGACATTCCCTTTACTACCTCAACACTCTGTATTGGCGCCGCCTCGACATGAATTTTGAAATGACATTCAATAAGCATTCGAGGTGTTCAATTATTTTTCAATTGCATCGATTTGCCAGCCACCCACCGAAGAAATTTGATTATACTTGATGGCCTCACAAAAGAAATACATTGAAAAAAAAATGTATTTTACAGACGACATTCGCATAAAGAATAGTACTCAGCTTACTCAGCCGTGGAGGTAATCGTATTCCTTTTTCAAAGTGCAGGATTTTGTGTTTTGGATCCATTTTCTTCCCCGCACGTGACCCATTCAAATAAGCCTTGGCGGAAGTCGTTTGGCAACCATTTTTTGGCCTGTGATTTGGCCAGCTCCCCCGCGTTGCCGCTCCATTTGGCCTTCACACATGCCAACGTTAGCTACTTTGCATTAAATCTCCCACCAATGGAAGTCAAACTATATCCTCCAGCATATCCCATGTCCTCTGACACTCAGACGTCGCTTGTCCAGCCGCCCGTCTGCCACTCAATGGATATGCGTGTTAGGATTCCCATCCCAAAGGTCCTGCGGCGAGAGGAGTAGGCCAGTGCGATGGGTACCGGAAATGCTGACTTGACAACAACAGACCCCAAAAAGCTTCCGTGGCTTCCACAACCACAGACAAAAGCCTTCGCTCCGGTGCGTGCTGTTTTCGGAGCCCGAACCGATAATCCCAAAAATCCACATGAAAATGTGGTGCGAACTGGCCATTGTCAGGAGCTACTATACCCAGAGGCAGAACAATAGCCTAAAGAACTCATTACCAGAAGACCTCTTCATTTTTTTTAAGTATTTAAATTTTTGTCAAACAAATCTATGAGTAAAAAAATTATAACAGCTTTATCAAAAAATCTTGAACAGAAACTGCAGTACTTTTTGCGTCACCTCACTTGTAAATCTTGGGTGCTGTAGCTCCTCCTTCTTTAAGGACTCGTCTTGATTGTTGTTGGATGTCCTAGTAGCACAGCTGCTGCCGGAAGCTGTTGATATTTTGTTAACAGATTTATTTGCGCAACGTGTTCACGCTTTCATTTGCAATTTTCCACCGGCAGTCGGTAGTCGGTAGTCTGTAGAGACGCACTTTTCCCACTTTTCAGGCTGTTCGATTAACCAGAAGAGTGCTAGTGCCTGGCTTGAATGTTTTGTTCCATTCACTGGCACTCGCAGACAAAAGAAGTGAAAGCATTTGAGGAGAGGCTGCCATTCCCTGTCAAACCCATCTCAAGGGGGGCGCCAAACTGAAGCGTTCCGATCCATTCAACATACTCCCCCGCCCCGGGGTCTTAGATTTGGGCCTTGCCTGCCCAACATTTCAGTGTGGGAGGAGGGTGTGGGTCCCGAAAATTTGACAGTCCCGAGTCACTTTGTTAGTTTGGAGCCTGGGGACCAGCGGAATGCGGCCAAAAGGAACTCGATTCTGTCAATCTTGTGCCGATTGAAGTTGATTTATCCGGGCGAGAGCTTTAAGTGGCTTTAGACATCACTTAACTGTCCGCAGACTTGATGAAAATTGTATAAGGCAGGCTTAACTTACGATTTCCGATAAATTCCCCACCCAACGTCGAGATAATTTGTGCCTCGAATTTAAAATGCCCGCTTAAAGTGCCTTTAAGTCATGGCTTTCCAGGTGACTGCATCTCAAAGGGGCGGAAATATTAAAATTTTCATGTGGCTTGGCCAGACCTTCCTGCGCCGGGGCATGATTTAATTAGAAGTATCCCTTGGGTTTTATGCAAGCCACCTGAAAGGTACCTAAAAGATATGTACTCGTTCCTGTGCAGCGGAAAAGCGTTTGTCAGTCCGGGGGAAGCCGGAATCTTGACGGCCTTGATGCCTCTCCATCCACACTGTGTGTGTTTGTGGCTTTGTTTTTGACAACACAGGACACAGGCAGTCACAGAAGGCATCAAACCGTCTGTCTGCGGGCTCCTTCATCTGGTTGTTTGAGAGAGAATTTTATTTTAAATTTGTGTCACATCAAAGGACGCCATTTCAGTTGCGTGGCGGAGGCAAGCCTTTGGGAAAACCTCTGCATTAATTCTGCGAAGCTTAACCCGCAAAGTATTCATTGAACTTCAAGCGACGAATGAGTCTCGAGTCCTTAAAGTTAATTTGTTGCTGTCATTTCCATATCAGTCTCAACATTCTTTTCTTGTGGGTTTTGGGATTAACTGCAAAGGTCATCAAATAAATATTTGCTTGGCTCTATTTTATTCCATGACCTTGGCTTTCCCTTTTTGGTTATGAAACACCTACACATTGGCCAAAAACACTCTCGATTCGGGCCGCGTAAATCAAACGAGGCGCACAAGTTTATTATGGCTTTCTGGTTGCAGCTGCTGCCTGTCCCACAGGGGATTGGAGTTCCAGATACTTTCACTTTCGAAAGCATTAAATTTAGTTTGGTATTTTTATCTCCCGGGTGCTAGGGATATCGAGAGCGGAAATGGGATGAAGAGCCACCGGAAAATTTGCGAAAATACGCTGCAATGCGATACGGCCAGAAGCCATAACGCGGAGTTCGAAAAACTGTGGAGGCCAACAGACAAGAGCTGCTGATTAATTGATTCTTTATCGGGAACGCTTCTGCCAGACGCCTTTCGGCCATAACGCCACAACTTTCGCGGCGCCAGTTGGGGGCCCACGCCCTTTCCTGCCCAGGAAAACAGAGAACGAGTGAGAAAACAGACGCCACGCCATTTATCAGAGAACCTCGAATTAACAAGCCTTAATGTCGCGGATCTCCTGGGCAATTAAGACGTAGACTCGCAACTCCTGTGTGCTCCTGCCTTCCTGACAGGAGTAAGTTTCCAGATCCGAGGGCAAAGTGGAAAAGGATGTAGGGAAATGGCGTTGCAATCAGCTCAAGTGAGTGCCGGCAATTTGTCGTCATTGTGCCTGTGTCAGCGTTTAATGCGAGAGCTTCCAATTAGCTTAATTAATTTCGATGCTTATTCTCCAAGGGAAGAAAATAAAAAGTCCGAAGGGTCAGCGCAGGAAATCACAAAGGAAAAGGCTGAAAATTAAAAAGGAGTTGAAAGTATCGGAGGTAAGGGTTGGGGTCATATTTTTAAAGGAGGTCTCTTTTAATGAGAGCTTACCAATTAAGACATATCGGGAAAGAGTCAAAAGAATTACTTGGAAAAATGCTGGACACCCGAACTCCTCTTGCTGGTCAGAGTCCATTGGTCCCGTATTGAATTCCTTTGGAACCAAAAACTTAATAACAAAAGCCAATAAAGACAGTTCAATGAACTCAACTTTGGCATCCCAAAGTCGATACCATCGGCAAACAATCCAAAATATCTACTCTGCAATGTGTTTACAGCCATGAAACGTTTATTTGCTTAACTTAGATAACAACAAGGGCGACCAAAGTCGTTAGTTTATATACAGAAACCAGCACCCACTATGAATAGCAGTAGAGCAGAGCATAGCGCCGGATGGCCATTTTCTAATTCCCGACAATGGCCATCCGAACTGCAATATGCATACACGTGTGTACTGTGGGAGGATTGGGCTGTCTCTCGATTACCAGCAGCCCTGCATCAGACCCAATTGCTGGATGGCCCCGCACCCGACACGGTTTTGCATGTAATCCGGGAAATTGCTCTGCAGCACTCGCATCGTATTCCGTTTGTAGTCGGGCACTGCATGGGTGACCAGCTGACAGGTTTGGCTGCGGTAAACCGGCTTAAAGTTAGTCTCCGCGAACGTGGAGTTCGTGTCCCACCGATACACCTCTGCGTCGCCCTCGTTCCGGAAGAAAATCGCCGAGCCATTGTCCGTTCCGATAATGACCATACGGCTGGGCTTCTTGCCGAGATCTGCGGGTCACACAGAGTTAGTAAATCATTTAATTTCATTTCCAAACAAACTCACCCAGAATTCGTCCATCGGCAACTCCGCTGCGCAGGTACTCGGACTTCAGGGAGAAGAGCTTGCTGGTGCTGAGGTAGGTGAAGTAGAGCTCGGTGGAGCCGCAGTCGCGACGGATCAGGGCTATGTAGAGGACGTCCCGGGAGCGGCAGCCAGCGGTGACGGCCTTTGGCAGCACCACCCTGAACCCGCGGTCAGCCTGCAGATTGTAGACGATGATGGCCCGGTTAGCGGCATCACTGACGTAAACGAAGCAGCCGCCATCGGGGGCGTAATCCACCACGAGGTACTGCAGACGGGAACTGCTCGAGGTCAGGCCCTCCAGGGACACGGTCTTCAGCACCTTGCCAGTTTTGACGGACATGGCCACCACTTTGGGGGGGCACTTGCGAACAGGGGTCTCCAGGGTGTTGACTATGCCCGTGTCCAGAACCCAGAGCACCTCGTTCTGATCCACCACCAGGTCCACCACCGACTGGAGCGCCTTGCAGTTGCCCTCCTCCTGCAGGTCCCAGCAGGGGTACGGCTTGAAGGTGGTGGAGCAGGTGCCTGGCTTCACGTTGGTCTTCACCAGAGTGGCCGGAACGCCCTTCCTGTAGCGGGGCAGGGCCAGGTAGATGGTGTCCCCGATCAGCTGGGCCCTGGTGGCGATCACGTTCTTGGGTATAAACTTGCCGGAGCTCTTGAAGAGCGACTTGGTGCTGGCGCAGGGGAACTCGAACTGACCGCCCGTCCACTGGATGGGCTGGGCGTCAGAGTGGGCGCGATCCGGAGTCCACAGCCCGTATTTCGTGCCCTGTGATCGGACCAACGAAACTGACACTCCCAGCGCCAGGATCAGGGCGAGCCAAGTACCCGTTAATAGTCTCATTTTCGATGCAATTTGGATTATAGTCAGCCGAGTTGTGCTCCAAGTGCTGGCCAAGAGGCGTGCTTATATATTAGCCCGCTTGTCCACTGAATCTGACCAGAAAGTGGCAACGTGCCGCGCGGCCAATTCTCAATTTTCCAAACAGATTTTTTTGCGAACAAGAACCTTGGCCAAAACTGTTTCAAAAACGCCACAAAAAAGATAGCTATTAAGTGATTAAACAACCGTTGAAGTTCTGTAATGCAGAATTATATAATTTATGCTACTCTAAGCCAGACATTTTCTTCCGTCTGTAAATGTCAAATAGTTCTAAGGGCAGCTGCTATCTTTAATTACAGTCTCTAGCTAAGCGTGGGCCATGAAACCGCAGAAATTCCGCGAAAAGGGAGAAGAGAAGAAAGGAATCCCTTTTTATGTCCTTCCCTCCTCGATTAATCAGCGAAATGGCAAAACGACATTGCAATTACTGCAATCAATTGGGGGACGGAAAACCGACAAGTGTCTCCTGATTGCCGGCGATATTTTTAGCTAATTAATTGCTGGTGCAACTTAGGAGCTGGAGAGAGTAACCTCCAATCGCAGTTGTGATTTCCTCTGCCCCAGCCCACAAATCTCGTCCTGAAATGGAGGAAAAAATTGAAGAAAAATCACTTCGGAGTAGCATCTCTCGCCGTAAATAGGTTAAAGCCCCTCGATGGGGCAGACAACCCGGAATCGCTCCGGGCCGGAATCAACGTGTTTGGCATGTTAAATTGTCAGCCAAAACCCGCATTCCGGGTGGCGTCTCCCCCGCCACCCGTGCTCAGTGATTTATGCCAACTAGTAGCCACCAGCAACCAGCCACCAACCACCAGCTCCGACAGCTCCCACACTCCATAGCACAATCAAAAAAAATTGATGACAAGCATTTCCGGGCTTCTCATCTGACATAATTTATGTAAACACTAACCGGCAAAAAGACTGGTGGAATGGGATGATAAGAGACTGCCGGCTGACCCCCATTAGCCCTCCCAAGGAGATGAAGCCTACTCCTCGGGCTATTTTCCACACATTACATTGACAGTTTTTTTTATTGCCGCCTTAACGAGGCGTATGCGTCATGAACAGACCCAGGTCCAAACTTTACCGCCAACTTCTTTAAACTTTCCGCCAGAAGCCGTCTGTGGGGCGTATGTGTGTCAAAATACGCAAATAAGCCAATAACAATAAAGCCAAAAAGAACTGTCTGTGGTCACGTTTGATTCAGTTTGCTAAATGGGTCGCATACACTCTTCTGCTGAGCAGACCATTTTCGATTAGCCGGGAATTTATTATAAATTAAAAGTGAATCCATAAAAGATGGCAGGGTATAGTGGGTAACTTTAAGTGCAAAAGAACCACAAGAACCCAGGCTTTTTATTAAAGGGAAAGAGCATTCAAAAGTCATTAGTCCCCTGATTATGAATGAGTATTAGCTGATCCCCTAATTTATGGGCTTTCACTTAGCTGGCTTTCTTTGTTCGTCTCCAAAGTTTTTGTTTATGTCTGCTTAAAGTTCGCCACTGGGCTTCGACTTCAGCACTTCGACGAATTGCCATAAATTGTTGTTTTATCGAGCAGCCATCTCCGTTTAATTATTTTGCAATGATTAATTCATTAGTTTATTGGTTTTATTTCTGATGCGAATAATTTTTCGCAAATGCCACTTGGCAGTCTGCTTTTCTGAATTCTCTATTTTTTCTCTAGAAGAGTCTGTTTAGGATGTGATTTCATGAAACCCCAATAACCCTTTTATAAGCCCAATTATTTAATAATTAATATTTAGTTTAGAAAACCTTTTTTTTAACCGAAAGAGCATAGAGCATTGAGCTTATAGTCTCGATTTAAACCTCCATTTCTGATACTCTTGCTTTATTTATATAACCAGTATAAATATTTATTTTGCCATGAAGCTGCGGACGGCATACTGGGTGACTGGCTGACATATCAGCCCTTATTTGGGCGTGTGTCTGCTATAAATTCGGAGATTACGATCGGGACGGGAGGCAACTTATGGCAGTTTATTAAATCGGATTTCGCTCAAATTCAATCTGCATGTAATTTGGCTTTATTGGGAGCCGAGTCATCCCTCGGCCATCCCGCATGCGGAAAAAACACCAGAAAAGGGTTATCTTGGCCATTTGTTGGTCCTCGCTTATGAAAATATTGACCAGCCGCCGGACCTATTTTTTTTTTCGAGTTCTACGAAGATTAAACTTTATGAGATTTAATGGCAGCCGACTTCTGGCCATAATTCAGTGCACGTGCTGACCACTTTTCCGCCCGCACAAAAGGCCAAGACAAACAAAGGACTGTCCTGCAGGACATCTACCACCCCACCCTCCCCAAATGTGTCAACGCATTTTTTATTTGTCGTTATTTGATGTGTGGGAGGTCTTTCAGAGTTCAACGTCCATGACGGGCGGAGTACACCTTTAATGCAATTTCACTCAGTCATAATTCGCATAAAAAAAATATTTAAAAAGTTACTGAAGGGGGCACCCGGATTTGAACCGGGGACCTCTCGATCTGCAGTCGAATGCTCTACCCCTGAGCTATACCCCCGACTTGAATTCTCCCGTCCGAGAGTGCCTCTTAAAGGCAATGGATGATGAAATATCTCGGGTATCTTAAAATAGAAACTGAATGGAGACTGTTTATGAATCGAATGCAGGCCCCAACCGAAATTCTGCTTAATGTTCATGTGATTCACATGGGCTGACTTCATTGATTCTCCGGTGGTAACTTTTCTGCAATCTTATCAGCCAGAAACGCAGAATACCAGCCACCGCCCCTCCGACCCCAAACTCTTGGCCAACTGATAGCTGGCAGATGTTATTGTCAGCTCGAAAATATCTGGAAAATATACCAAGCCGGGTAGCAAAAGTTTAGGTCGCAGACGTCAGAGCTGGAACTGAACTTTCTGGCCATTCGGGGAACTGATTCGGCCTGACCTCTGAACTTTAGTTGGCCCAACAAGCGAAAATCAGTTTTCAGTTAGCAACTAAACAAATGATCGATGGATGGCAGAAGCAGTAATGGAAATTTCAAAACAAATTCAAGAGACGACGGTATCCTTTTCGTTAAAAGTCCAACAGAAATCAGAATGCAATTGTTATCATTCGTAGAATGGGTTAAGTTTCAACACTCCCCGCGCCAGCTTCCGCATTGCATAGAAACCAAATTGAATAGCCAGTGGGGGGTCTGGCCGATTTCCGGCGTGGGCCAGACGTGCTGGCTGGCCGTGTATCTGTGTGTCGAGGGGGGCTTGCGGCGCAGACACTTGTTCCCCCCTATGTTTACCAGACGGCGACCTTGCTGCAACACGCTCCGACAACTCGATGCACCATTCTGCATTCTGGTCTTATATTTAAACACCAGTCTGTCCGCCGCTCAGACAGTTCTCGATTCTTGTCAGACGTAGCTTCCGAGATCTGAGCTACACCGCTACATCATCCTCCGAAATGGCAGCCCTGCAGCCATTGATGCTCTTGCTCCTCGCAGCCCTTGTCCTGGGAGAGTACAGTTCCTCGACCGACGAATCTTCGGACAGCGCCTCGAACGCCATAACCGGCACCAAGTGCGACAAGAATCCGCTGGGCGAGCTCACCTTTCAGCTGAGCGGCAGCAGCCTCCATTGGCCCTGCGACTCCACCAAGAACATTTACGTACAGTCTGGGAGGTATGTGCCCCGCAACGTGATCGTGACCCGGGCCCAGCTACAGCGGGACTCCGCCTTCGTGGCCCTCCCCCGGTACAAGCAGGGCGTTCCCTTCACCCTCGGCAAGGTCAACCTGAAGAAGGGCGAGTGCCTCACAAAGATCGCCCCGTACCCCTGCTGGGCCATCCAGGAGGAGGGCAACTGCCAGGCACTCCAGTCCGTGGTGGACATAGCTGTGGATCAGAATGTGAGTAAAATTAATGGCGGTGCTGTTCAACTGCAATTTGTGACTTTAATTAAGAGTGGGTCGAGGGTCTCTGCCACTCTGATGACTTCACAATCATTTTTGATCCTTTTATTGCCAGTTGATGGCATCGAGTTGGAGGTAGATGTGGCTGCCATTTCAACTCTTATTAGACTCTGCAGGATTCCCATTATAACCCATTATACTTTATCATTTCAAGACATTAAAGTGTCTACTTTGGGTACAAACAAGAGGGTAGAAACCTCTACCATCCCCAACCAGCTACCAACTCCAGGGTATCGCCTTACCCGTCCTCGGACACACTTTTTAACTGCCCGATGCTGACGACCAAAAATTGCTTTTTTAATCAAATAAACGGGGCGACAAAAACGAAGCGCTTCAAATAAAACGCGTGTCTGGCGATTGGCGCCAGTCAGCGGTGCGAGGAGAAAGAGCTCCAACTGACCCAACTGGGTTGAAAAAACTGTTGCGTAAATGGAATATTATAAAAGGGCAAAGGCTGTCGCTGAAGTGCCCGGCCAGAAATGCAGCGACAAGTTCTCAGAAGCCATTTCCATTCGATAGAGAAGTGTCAGCCCCAGCCAGTTCACACAACTTCGATTTCCACTTCGATTCCACTTCGAAACCAACTTCGATTTGGTTTCGATTTCCGCTTAAATACTTGTCAGCGTAGATATTTCAAAGTTGGTAGCTGACTGTTTAAGACTGATAAGCAGACTGACAGGTTTATTAAATACTGTCAACGTGCTTCATGTTGCAAGTTACATGCTGGAGATACAAATGACCTATTTGCAAGGCCATCTGCAAGTCAATACTGCGACTCTAATAGTTGGCCATCAATCCAACCTCATTTAAATGCCACACACACAGACTGCAATTGTGGCACTGAAGCGTTTATGCAAAGCACTCTTATTTTATTTGCACAAAAGTGGCAATCGCAATAACAATCACTGGGATGTGTGCGAATGAATTCATTTGTTTGCACAATTTTCCATTCAGTTCATGTATGTATATTCATGCTGTTATTAATTTTATTTTTATGAGAGCGTGTGGCGTTTTTAACGACAACAATGTTTTAATCAACAGCCATGGGTGAAGAGCCCATGAAAAGCCATGAATATGATTCGTTAATTGAACGCCTCTGGCATTTTGGTTTCAGGGACTCCTCTGGGCGCTGGACGTGGGCATTGTAAACACCCTGGAGCAGCCCATCCGGCGCTGCAGCCCCAAGATCGTGGCCATCAACACGGCCAACAACAAGGTGGTCAAGAGCATCGACCTCAGCGACCTGGTCACCTCCGAAAGCCGCCTGCAGTTCATCGTGGTGGACTACTCCAAAGACAACAAGCCTTTCGTGTAAGTCTTAGAAGAGAAGCTCTATAACAGCACCTCCATAAGTAGCATCTTCATAAAAACTAACAAGACTTCCAGTGTCTTAAAATCGTATGTGGTCCTAATCCCTGCCCCTTTTCTCAAAACATAGCTACGTTGCCGATGCCGGAGCCCGTAGCATCCTGGTTTACGACATCACTGGAAACAAGTCGTACCGCATCGTCCTGCCCAAGGCCACCGCCCCCACCAACGATGTCCTGTACGTGGCGCTGACCGCCAAGCCGGACGGAACCTCCACCCTCTTCTTCAGCTACCTGAGCTCCCCCCGGCTCTACTCGATCAAGGGAGAGTACCTGCGGGTGGGGCAGGGCGCGGGCTCCATCATCGACGTGGGCCCTAAGCCCTACGGCAAGCAGGCAGTACTCCTGGGGGCCGATGGGGGCACCTCTCTCTTCTTCCGATACAAGGGCGAGAACGACATCTATCTCTGGGACTCGGAGACGTGCTTCAAGGCCTCCAACCTGCAGGAGGTCCAGAGGGGTGGCGACTGCAGACTGTCCACCCAGGTCCTCCCGGGTCACAAGCGCTTCATGTGGGCCCTGGAGAGCAACTTCCATGACTTTATCTCCGACAAGACGGGGTGCAACGGGGCCTCCATCGTCCTGCATCCAGTCGTCCGGGAGTGTGATGACTAAGCCACCTGGCTCATTGTCCCTTAAACTACCCTCAAGTTTCCTCTATCTCTGTTTTTGTTATTGGGTCTCAATAAAATTTGTTTAATTTTTAACAAAGTCGATTACTAGCCGCCGGTCATCAGGCCTAATCAGACTGCCCATGCTTTGACCGATTAGCTTGGCCTACGTCTGGGCTAGAACCAGATATAATGAATCAGAAATGGGCAGGCACTTGATAAAACATATTTATTGCTATCTCTTATGCCAGTTTATAGACTCGGATTAAACTCTTTCTTTGTTTTAAGAATCAGCAACGAAATTTCGGTCTACAAGTTGGCTATTCTAAGAGCTTCTTGAGCCAATCTTATTTCCTCGTCTTCGTCTACGCTCATGCAGAGCAGGGAGTATTCGTTGAAGACTTCCCCCTCGGGACAGCTCCTTACCTCGAGCTGCGAGCTCATGCAGAGACAGTACTCATCATTGGCTGGGTTGTTGGGGCACGGCATCACCTCGAAGTCGCGGCAGTCGAAGCTGTCGAGTCCTGTGCGGCAGGCCAGGATCTTGGGGTCGAAGTGGTAGCCTGTGGGGCAGCTCTTGGTCTGTAACTCTCCATCGACGCACTTGCAATAGGTGCTTCCCCAAGCGTCGCCAGTAGAGCATTCGTAGTTGTAGTTGCCAATGCACTTGGGAGCCTCTTTCGGGCGCAGAGCCAGGTTACGGGTGTTAGCTACACACCCGCTGTTCTGGAAGATAAAGCCATCGTCGCACTTCAGTAGCAGGGGATAGAAGGAGGTGGCTGCGTCGCCCATACAAATGTAGTAGAAACGATTGTCGGCCGGCCAGGCTCCGATCTGGCCCGACTTAGTACAACTGTACTGCGGACTTGTGCACTGATCGCTCTCCCGCGGAAGTACGCAATCACCCGTCAACGTGGAGTACCCGGCTCCATTGGTGCACTGCCTCGGGGTGTCCACGCTGAGGGCACTGCACTCGTGATACTTGCGGCAGTCGTAGGGATCGGGGAACAGACCCGGCTGCTGGCAGCTGAAGGGCCCTCGCTGCGGCACCGTGCACTGGGACTGCCAGGTGCATCCGAAGGTCCCCTCGTCGCTGCAGTAGAAGCTGTGCCCCGTCTGGCACTCCAGCATGGATACTGTCTGCCACTGGTTAGTGGTGTCATGGATGCAGTACCCCAAGGTGTTGCAGTCCAGGCACACGAAGCCCGCCAGGCGCACGTTCTGGCAGGGGTTATCATCTGTGGTATCGGCTAGAGGGGATGGGACGATACTTCCAGCCGAAGCCCATCCGACGACAAGGCCAAGAAAGACTGCGAATAGGTGATGTGAAGGCCGCATCATAAAGACTGTTGGTGATTTTTTGAGGAATTGTCTATTTATACGGCACCGCCTATCTGCCAGCCTGTGTTCTTGCCTTAATTAAAAAGATAAACCCTATAGAACCACAACAAAAATGAAAACAAATATATCCGCTTTTGGCCAAAAATTCCACCACAATCCATATCCATATCTTTGCTATCATACTTTATTGAGGGGAATACTTTTAATGATTTTCTCATCGATTTTCTAAGAAAACCTTGAAGCGAACCTACCTTCACACCTTTTTATATAAATTCAGAACTCCAGACCCAGCAATACATTTTATGAATCTTTATTGTTATTCTGCGTTGTATTGATATTCTATAAAATCTTACAACTAACAACTTCCTGCCACGCAAGCAAATGAAGTTACACTGAAGATAGTTCCCGCCAGGCATGTGGAATACTTGATTTCGGCGCCCTTTTCGGAGCAGTGATAGTATCCCGAGCAATCGGCTGGATCGGCAAACAGCCCGAATCGCTGACACCTTTTGGAACCATTATCACTCACTTCATTCTCATCTGTGTTGGTGGGAAAACAAAACTTCTTCTCCGCGTCAAAGAAGTACCCATCAGGACACGTTTGAGTAACATACTTTCCACCGATGCAAAGGCAGAAGTCGGTGCTGCCGCTACCATTGGGGCAGGCAAATGGGGTGAGCTCCTCCAGACACTGAGCCGCACCGATCTTGCAAACTGAATGGCTCGCATCGAAGTAAGTTCCCTCGGGACATACATGGATCTGCAGATGCTTATTCAAACACAAGCAGTATTCTCCAGCAGAGATGGAAGAAGGACATCGACTGATCTGGTAGTTGGTGCACTCTGTGCTGTTCTCAGAGACACAAAGGCTGATATTTTGGTCAAAATTGTATCCTGAGGGACAGGAATAGTCATCAGCTCCAGCTGCTACCAAGACGATCGACAAGCAGGCAACAAACAGAACAAGATGGGTCCAAGGCGTCATGTTGGAAAATGGCTAAGGAGGACTCGCCTGATACTCTCTTATATAGAGGTAGATAACCGAAGCAGTGATGTTTTAGGTTAATTAAATAGACAATCGCAGTGACTCCCACTTGGTGGCCTTGAAAAGTCTTTAAAGTTTTAAGACCTTGAAGGCCTTGAAACAGAATGATCTCTAATATTAGTCTTCCTAATTATGGAGAAGTATGTACTTCAATAAGACACTAAGAAATGTATTAAAAATCTCCACCATTTATTTAACTTTTATTTGTGGTAAAGCTTCTTTAAAAATATCCTCCCTTAATGACAGTTCAGCAAGACCCCAGGACGCAGGAGGACAGCTCGGGACGGTAGTAGGTACCCGAGGGACAGTCCATGTGCCGCAGAGTGCCATTCAACGCGGAGCAGTAATAGTACTTCCGGCAATCATCCATGTCGGCGATGAGGCCCACGTGCTGGCAAGTGGTGGGAATCACGTTGAATGCTCCGTCATTGGGATCCACGATCACCTCAGACGGATTGGATGGATCAGTGCTAGGAGGCAGGACATTCGATCCGGTACGGCACACATAGTCCACGAAGATCTCACCGTCATTGCAGCGATGCAGTGAGGGATATATGACGAGGGAATCGTTCAGGTTCTGGTTAACCGTCGACTTGCAAACGTAGAAAATATTGGGGTTAGTGGGCCAGGCAGCCACGAATCCGGCGTTGGGGCAGTTGTATTGCCGCTGAAGACAGACGGGATCATTCAGGGTCAAGGTGCACTGACCAGTCCGGGCATCAAAGGCCTTGTCGTTGCCACAGTCCACGGCAGCGGCCACCAGAGTTGCTCCCACGAAGTAGCACATGTGGTACTTCTGGCAGTCATAGGGGTCCGGGAAGATGCCCTGGGATGTGCATTGGAAGTTGCCCTCGATTCCAAAGGGGTGGCATGGGCCCGTTTCGTTTGTGCAGCTTCCCAGACGAGCGTTGCAATAGTATCCGTTGGCCACGTCGCATGACTCCACGGGAATGTTAACCCAACCATTGGAGTGCCGCACACAGGTGGCTAGCAGCTCGCAGGACTCGCAAATGGGTCCTGGAGTCTGACGCCCCTCGCAGGAGTTCGACTCCCGAGGCTGGATGCGACGGGTGGTCACGGTAGCAGCCATTAAGGATGCCACAGCATTGAGAAGCAGCTTTATAGGAAATAATAAAATATATAAGTTATAGATTATTTATACCTCCTTCTCTTCAAATTTTGTTTTAAAAATGAATTACTCACCAAACTAGCTTGTAGTTTTTTGGAAAACATGGTGACGTATTCTCTTCTATTTCGTAGATTTAAACGTTGGTCCTACTCCTCCGAGTATCGTCAATGGTCTGAAGCGATGCTGCCTCCGATCACGCCAATGAAAGCCCAAAAATAACAGTAAAGATAAGGGGCCAGGTCTTTATATCTTTGGCCGGGTGTTCTGTTTGCCTATCTGCTTTCGAAAGTCAATTGGAGTTGGGCAAAGATTGGAGCAGCGAAGATTCTGAAAGCAACAACAGCTCGAATGCCGCAATGATGGGTGAGTAAACTATTTTATTTTCCCCAAACTAGATCTGTCTCATAAGATTATTTAGTGAGTAAATATAACCGAAATTTATGAGTTTGTGGATCAATATTTGCTACTCTTACTCTGTCAATAGTTTTAGCCTGCCGGCTTTTTATTATTTTTACCTAATCTCTAATGTGAAAAAGATGTTCTTCATCTAGAGGTTTATATTCTTTAACAAATTTATAATCGTTGCTTAAGAAATTGTTTTACAATTCTAAACAAAACAAAATGGTATTTAAATGTTCCCTCCCATATTCGATAAGTTCGCGGTAATCGTTTATCGAAATGTAGTCAAGGCACGAACCACGAATCCCGAACGTGGGTTTTCAAGCTAAAGGTCATCTGGCAGCACTGTCATTATAAATAAATATCAGAGGTTGAAAATTAGTTTCGTTTTTAAACTTTTCTGTATTAAAACGGCCAAGACAAAGGGCAAAAGCTACAAAAACATCTGTTTTTTGCCTGAGAACCTTTGCTTTGACCAAGAACTCAGCGCCAGCGGCGAGGAATACTTAAGCTGCGAAGGACTCGTTGAGTCATCGCCCCACAAACAAGGGAAACAAAGAAACAAAGGATGAGCAAATTAATTGGCGGAAATCTGGAGTTTGTGCGAGAGGATGACTTTGTGGAGTACTACATATTCCCCAGACTGCCGGACAATCTGCGGGACCCGGCAAAGATTCACCAGCAAATGGTCCAAGTTCACAAGGAAATTAACGCCATCGTGAAGGAGAAGACTCTGGAGCGGAGCTACCTGTGGCACAAAGATGAGTTCAAGCTTCAGATACGCACGGGCAGCCCCGAGGAACGCCTGCTGAACGAAGAAACCAACCCAGAAGACGAAGAGAACCTGGGTATTAAGCTAATTCTATAAATAGTAGGTTACAGAATTGTATATGGTATTCCTTTTCCCTGCCCAGGTGACCTCCCGCCCTATTTCCATGGCGTAACCCACTACGGCGACAACATAGCAGACGAATGGTTCGTGGTCTATTTGCTAACGGAGATAACACGTGCCCGCGGTGACTGCATTGCTCGCGTCTGTGACTCGGACGGAGAGTTTCTGCTCATCGAAGCGGCAGAAGCGCTCCCGGACTGGGCCTCGCCGGAATCCTGCGAGCGGCGCGTCTATATAGTTAATGGGGGCCTCCAGTTGCTCCAGAACTCTGCAGCCACCAGCCAAGATGCTGTTATTACGATGGCAAATGCCCTCCAACGAATTCGCTTAAATCCCACCCTCTACCGCTGCTCCCGCGAAATTCAATCCTGTATCGATGCGCGACTCAAAGAGTTCCAGATCGCCCAGCCCCACTTCTCAATCCACCGCCAGGTGGTGGAGCTTCCCCTGAGTGCAGCTCAGCTCCTGAAACAGCAGCCGCGGTTGGTCTCATCGGCTGTGAGGGCTTTCTGCGATCGCGATTCTATGGACACTAAGGCGCTACGCACAATGCGCTACTTTCCGCCCGAGGCTCCCCGCCTACGCACAAATTTGGGATTCACTCGCTGCTTGTACGCCATGCTGATGCACCAACAGTACACACCCGAAAGACGACTCGGCTGGAAGCTCACAGACTCTGTAGCTAATCCAGAGCTCTATAAGGAGCAACTGCTTGGCGTGAAGCTGTCCAGCGGCTTGGAGATCTTGGCCAGTCAAGCGAAGAGAATAGATGGGCAGAAGCTGGAGGAGCTGCCAGCCTGGCGCGCATATCATCGGAGCCTCCAATCGAAAGGCTACTTTAAGGATAATCTGGAGGGCAGTGCCGAATACCAGCAGCTGTTGACAAAGGCCATGGACTACTTCCGCGGTAATCAGGAGCGCTTCCGTACCGCCCCGCAGGTGGGAGCGGAGATTCTGGAACTTCTACTTCATCCGGCAGAAGCTGCGTCAGAGGAGCTCCGCGACGAGGAGAACAACCTGCAACCGAGCGATTCAGACGAGTGGCTGAATATTAGTGCTGAGGATCTGGATTCCATGTTGCAGGATCGGTATGGGCCGCACAAGCTGTACAAGCCCAATGGGGACATGAATGCCGAAGAGTTCACCAAACAACTGTCTGACTTCCTCGACCAGCAGTCCAACTTTGAAGGCATCGAGCACAAAGGACACGAGGAGCTAGATTCCGATGACGACGAGCCGGAACCGAAAAAGACCGAGAGTTCCACATCATCTGGAGCCAAGGTGAAGAAGAACGCATCGATGCGCAAGGCTTGCCAGCGGAATTCTCTGATTCAGCAGGAGGAGCCAGACAGCACGCATGTGCGGAACTTCCTGGACTTTGTCATACCCGAGGACAACTGGGACTCCACCTCCGAAATGAGCGACTATGCCGACGAGGATGATCTCGAGAGTAACTTGCACCGAAGCCTGTCTGGACCAGGGGCCGGCAACGTGTTCCCATTGGACCGTCAAATAAAGTCGTACATGGAGCAAATGGACAGGGAACTGGCACAAACCACTGTGGGAAAAACGTTTAATGGTAAGAAGAAGGCGCCGCAGGCAGAGGAGGATGACTTTGACGACATCGAGGACTTTGAGCCCATCAATATAAATGTAAACACACTTCGCAACATGATGGACAGCTACAAATCACAGGTTGGCGGCTCTGGGCCCGTTTCAAATCTTTTTAGCGCCATGGGTGTGGGTATGGCGGCAGCTTGTGAGGATAAGGATCCCAAGAATCTCTCCGAGTCGGCCGTGTAAATTGGACCAGAGGTCCTTATTATAGAAATAGGACGAAAATAAATGTGCATAACTGATTGTAATATGGGGGATAATCTTATCTACTCTAAAGCTAATCCTTGGAGGCAGGCACAAAGTTTCCGTAGTCGCGACGGACTTTCATTGGCGGCTCATTGTTTGGAGAATCGCGCCGATCGTAGGAGCGCTTGTAGCCACCACCAGATCCATCACCATCACTACGATCCCGCCGGTTGTCGCGATCGCGGTTATCGAATCTGTTGTTGCGCCGGTTGTCTGAAAATAAAACTCGAGAAATGTAGGGAATATTCCATTGAATAGCTGCCGACGTACCTCTGAATCCTCTGTCGTTGTGGTGGTTGTGATACCCTCCTCCACCGCGCCGTTGCCAGCCTCTGTCGCCGCCTCGTTGCTGGTGGCCGTTGAAGCGATTATGATTCCTGTACGGATGGCCACCATCCCTTCCGCCACCACCACCGCCGCCGCCACCTCCTCCACCTCCGCCAATCCAGTTTTCCACGATCGGCGGATCCGGGAACGGTTTGCTGCAGTGGGCCATAAACTCCGGGTCATCGTCTGTGAAGCGCCCGGAGAACTCCAACTCGCACTCCTCCAGGAAGCTGATGTCCCTATCAGCCAGGCGGTTGATCTTGCGATTCGGATCAACCATAGTTCTGAGGCGTAAATCTATAAATTCAGCTTATTTATGTTTTTAAATTCTAATCAGTTTAGTTCAGCTGAAACTAGAGATGGAACAGTTTCGATAACTGCTGCACTGCACTTCAGTGAGCTTGCCAACACTGAAAATCGGTCGAATCGACACTGTTATTCGACAAATCCGAGAGGAATAGGGGGTGCCTCAGATTAAAATTAATGAATCGCGGTTACGATGTCTTCAATTAGCCAACTGAACGGACCTTAATGAGCCAGCCGCCTGCAGTAGACACCGAAACATGACCCCGCCTCGCGGCCACATACAATCACGGAACACAGTCTACACGCACAACCAGAAGAAACAGGAGCACCCCATCCCCGTGTTAGTGGCTGGAGAACTTCAAATCTCATCCTTCTATAACCATGGAGCAATCGGTGTCGGCGCGGTGGGTACGTCGCTATCGCGCCTTCTTCCTCGTGCTGCTGCTAATCGTTGGCATCCAACTGTTCTTGGCGTACAAATCCCTGGACATTGCCGGCGGCAGTGGCTCCGGATCTGATGAGATCGAGCTGCCAGCCAATCCGCCCTCTCCTCAGGCTGAAGCCCAGAGCCGGCCGCAGTCTCCGACTCCCACCAGGACTAAGCTGACCGCCCTCCAGCTGGGCTTCCAGCCAGAGTGCGACATTCTTGCCAAAGAGGCCATATCCGCGTTACAGCGCGCCAAAACGAAAGACTGCCGAGAACATATCGCGCACACAGCCTGCGCCATCCAGGCGGGTCGCTTCTATGCGCCCCAGCTTCGTAGTAGCTGCCCGGCGGGCAACCACACGGCCAACGTGTCCCTTGGCTGCTTCAAGGACGAAAAGGAACGAAGAATTCTTGCGGGATACTACAGCAGCTCCAAGACATCCAATTCACCAAGCAGTTGCGTGCACCTTTGCCTTCAGAGTGGCTACCCGTACGCAGGAGTTCAGTACGGGAGGGAATGCTTCTGCGGATTCGACCCGCCACCATCGTCCGCTAAGCTGCCGGACTCTAGTTGCAACACCAAGTGTCTGGGCAATGGAAAGGAAATCTGTGGAGGCTTCTACGCTATGAACATCTATGAGACGGGTATAGCCAGTAAGTAGTGCTGGAATTTGGAGAGATATTTCATTAGTCCTTTGAAGCCCACATGGGGTCTGAGGTGACTAATGTAGTATCTCTACTGAGAGAGTCTTAGTAACTTTAAACGTCCATTTTGCGCAGAATTTACTGCCCAGGTAGCAGCTACAACAGCACCGCCGGGAGCCAAGCGCGTGCGGATCGCATTTCTGCTGACTCTCAATGGACGAGCGCTGCGTCAAGTGCATCGATTGCTGAAGGCGCTCTATGCGCCGGAGCACGTTTATTACATTCATGTGGACGAGGTAGGTCAACGACCGGAACTGGGCAATTAAAGTGCGCTCAATTAATTGCCCCAATCCGCACTATTTAAGTGGGTCTTTCGCTAGCTGGGAATATATTTTCACGATCCAGCTCTAATGACCCATTTTCTAGACTTTCGCAAAAGTCGTATAGTTAATTTTAATTATCTCTCTTATCCGACCCAGCGCCAAGACTATCTTTATCGGAAATTGCTGGAACTGGAGGCAAAGTTCCCAAACATTCGCCTGGCCAGGAAGCGCTTTTCCACAATCTGGGGAGGAGCCTCTTTGCTCACCATGCTGCTCCAGTGCATGCAGGACCTGCTCAGCTCGAACTGGCATTGGGACTTTGTTATTAACCTCAGCGAGAGCGATTTTCCAGTAAAGACTCTGGACAAGCTAGTGGACTTTCTGAGCGCCAATCCGGGCAGGAATTTCGTGAAGGGCCATGGCCGCGAAACCCAGAAGTTCATCCAGAAACAGGGCTTGGACAAAACCTTTGTGGAGTGTGACACTCACATGTGGAGAATAGGAGATCGTAAGCTTCCGGCAGGGATTCAGGTGGACGGAGGCAGTGACTGGATTGCCCTCTCCCGGCCATTCGTGGTCTATGCCACCCATCCGAGAGAGAATGACGAGCTGTTGCAGGCGTTGCTGAAGCTCTTCCGTCACACTCTGCTGCCGGCAGAATCCTTTTTCCACACCGTCCTGAGGAACACCGAGCACTGCACCAGCTATGTGGACAATAACCTGCACGTGACCAACTGGAAGCGGAAGCAGGGATGCAAGTGCCAGTACAAGCACGTGGTGGATTGGTGTGGCTGCAGTCCAAATGATTTCAAGCCGGAAGACTGGTCCAGGCTGCAGGCCACCGAGCAGAAGTCTCTGTTTTTCGCTCGAAAGTTCGAGCCTATCATCAACCAAGCCATACTACTGCAGCTGGAAGAGTGGCTCTACGGTCCCTACACCAGCGAGTATGCCAACCTATACGGCTACTGGCAGTCGATTTACCATCACGAGGATGTCCACGGGTCGGGAAATGATCTGGCGAGGAGCATCGGCGATAGCGTTATGCGATTGTCTGCCCGGCAGTTGAAGATCGACCCCTTGGAGCTAATAGAACTGACACACTACCTGCACCGTGACCAGTACAAGGGCTTCCTGGTACGCTACCGGGCTAGGGGAACAGCTGGGAATCCATTGCATGTGGAAACACGAGTGCGCCCGGTGCAGCATGGCAAGCTGGCGAGGAATGCCCGGTTCAGCAAGAGGCTGCGGAACTTTGAAGTATCTACGGATTTTGATCAAAAGGAACAGGTGGCTCGGAACTTTGGCAAAATGTTGGGTCCCCAAAGCGAGCTCCTGTTGAGTTACACACTCCAGGCCTCTGCCGAGTCTGGAGGGGCTGCCCACTCCTACAACCTGACACTGCTGTGGATCGATCCGTTGGGACGCCTGCAGGACTTTAATGAGCTCCATATCGAGGACTCCGCCAGCGATGTGATCAACCACTCGAAAACGCTGCTAAAGCCACCACTCACGCCCGGAATCTGGACGGCGAAGCTAATAGGACGCAGCTCCATCTACGCGCAGCTGAAATTTTTGATATCGCCTCTGGCCTACTGGAAAGGATACCCCGTAGAGACATCTTCCGAGGCGGAGCAGCTTAACGGAGGCCTGGCAGTGGCGCTACCCGACGACTTTGAGCTGCCCGTGGAATGGCAGCAACACCTGCACTCTGACGATGAGCAGTTCACCCTACGCGAGGAATCCACGGCGAAGGGCAAGCTTGTGGGTCGAGAGCTGCACAGTTGGATTGATGGATTGGTGGCCAAGTTCTTTCAGCTGCGCGAGAGCTGTGCGGTGGAGGCTGATACCGAGATGTCGCTGCCGCTGTGCAGCGATGTGGCGTGGAGCTCCCTGGCTCCCGATCCCAAGAGTGATGTGGATGCCCTGCTCAAATGAGCCACGATTGCCAACGATGCATATTGTTATTAATTATTTAGTGTAAATACTCGCCAGGTAGAGATACTTTTCGAAGAGTCAATTTTTATAGATAGTTTTCTTCCCTACCATTAATTTTTTAATAGATTGTTGTGATAAATGTCAAATTGTAACTAAGCGCCATCTAGACTGGAAGCGGATCCTCTTATCCGCTCCTGTAATTTCAGTGTTTTTTTTTTTTTATTATAATTTTAAACATAGCATTTTGAATATTAGATATAAGTAAGATCGAACGCCTTGTAAATATGCAACGCACTGGACACCAAATGGACACTCGTGGATATTCCCCCGGTTAACTGTAAATAAGGTTAGCTAGACGCAATTCCTTAACTAAGTCATAAGTTAAGGCAACACCAGATAGCAATTGAATCGGTTTATCAACAAAGTTACTTCTTCTTCGATTTCTCGCGTTTATTTCACATATCAAGTTATCCAAAAAATAAATGAGCAATTCTACATGTACTAGAGATGTGATCGATCTTCGACAGATTCCAATTGATTTGCATTAGGGGGAGTTTGGGTGGGGGGAGTGTGCTGGACGTCCAGGTATCGCTTTTGAGGTTAGACCTAAGTTGACTTAAAGCCCTACGTTTGTACTGCCGTTCGGCCGCCGACTGCTCTTGGCTGACGACTGCCTAGATGCACAGGTCCTCGTCAGGGTCCTCCTCATCAAAGTCGTCATCGGCATCAGGGGTGTAGATAATGTTTCCCTCGGACGGTTCACTGGCGCTGTTAATGGTTCCACATTTGAATATATCGAGATTATCTGGTCATTTTCATACTCACCGTTCGTAGGGCAAAGTGAGGGCGTTGCGGGCCACCACTTCGTCCTCGTCTAGCTCTATCTTAAAGGTGCTGTTAACGACCGGCTCGGGGGTCTGCTCCTCCTCGGCAGACAATTGGGGTGCTGCTGCGGCCGTCCCACCGTCCAGAGGCGTTACGTGAAACTCGTTTTTGGTCACTTTGCAGGAGTAGCGTTTGTTGGTGACGCCGCCGCCGGGCTTTCGAGAGATTAGTGATAGAAGCGTCTCCGTTTCCAGGCGCAGCACCAGCTCGGCAATGTATTCGCAACCGGCCAAGATATAGGTGGCATCGGGGTGCTGCAAGTGCTTCGGAGAGGCCCACAGAAAGACGCGGTGGACCCCTTCGGAGCGACGCAGGCGATTCAGGAAACCGAAGATAAAGGCAGGCGGCTGGTAGCAGAGTAGGTCGGCCAGGGTAGGCAGGATGACGTTGTATCCGGTGGGTTTGACAGCCGGAGAACCCACTGCTTGCTCGTCTCCCGGCTGGGTTGTGGTGCCGGTGACACTGTTGTTGGCGCACTCGGTGATCAGGGCATCGAAGCTGGACACGTGCTTCAGATTGGCGCCCGTGGGCAAGGCCTTGATGGTGTCTGCTTCCTGACCCTGCTCATGCAACAGGCCATCGATGAACTTCGGCGCGAGGCGCTCCCGATTTAGCTCGTCTATTTAGGTTTTCGGAAGAAGAGGCAACCATGCCAGGCGGCTGTTACTTTCGTGACCTTTGATGGATAACCTTTTCGACTCACCGATTATCAGGACCACCTTTTGCTGGGTCACTAGGAGATTGGAGAGCATTTTGGTTTGGGGTGCAGGGCATTAGGTTTCGATTTAATTTATTTTGAATTGTATTCGAGCTTTACGCCAGTGCTGCCAGCTTGGCTTTTTTCTCGTCAAATTTGGCTATTGTGAATGGTACATTTATCGAAGCTTAGCCGCCTGTTATTTGGGTATAATTATCTTTCTAAGACGATAAATAAAAATAATAATCAAAATATATTGATAAGAGATATAGAATTATTGACCGATTATTCTTTAAGACAATGTTTCTGGTGTAGCCATTCATTGGCTTCTTTTTAGCCATTTCTAGCCATTGTGAATTTATATCGGCGGCCACCTTGTTCACAATAAGCATGCGCTCTTCTTCTTGCTGTGTTTTTCCAATCGAGTAAACAAAACAATCCGCAAGGGTATTAAGTTTCACCGTTAATCATAAAAGTGATTGTTCTCAGCCTTATCTTGCTTATAAATGTGATATCAATGAATATTAGAATATAATTAGTATAATAAACTATCTTCTGGAGTTTTAAAAACAAAATTGTTTTTAAAAATACCTGAGGATTTCATAGGTATTTGAAAAATATATATCATCGAATACCGTTACCTGTAAGTTGTTACCATATTGTATGTTGGTATTTTTAGTTTCCGCCACGTTTAACTGTTCTTTAGTAAAATAAAACTAATAAGTTAGAAAGTGAAGGGAACTCGGGTTTCTCCATCATTAATATCCAACAGGTGGTTCTTTGTTGATGTGTGTGTGTGTGTGCAATGGAATAACCATAGACGTAGCTAAAAGGGGTTCTGAACCTCTCGTAAAAATGTTTTCTTTCTTCTCCAAATATGGTTTTTTAATGTCTAACCTTTTAAAACATCTTTGTAGTATTATCCCTGTTGAGAATTCTAAGCCCGTCCCTGTTGCATTCTGACTGTTTTGGAGCTTGCTAACCAAAAGCTCTCGTTTGGGCCATAGGGGGTGGTGGAGGTTGGAGGGTTTTGCTGGGCTTTCACCGCCCACACAGCCTTTGCAGACATTTTCACCGCTTTTCCTCCATATGGAAGCCGCAGCTTCCTGCATTCAAGGCACTCGGTTCAACAAGTAACGACGTCAGTCCCCCGAAAATCCAATAAAATTTGTGAAAAACCCCCCACGTCATAGCCCCAAAAAGTGCTATTGAGTGATAAAGATAGCGTGGAATCAGTACTAAACCATTCCATTATCTGAGCAGAGCAGAAGCATCCAGTTTTCGCCATGTTATTCTCCCTGGGTAAGCAATCAGCAGCGATAATGTCAGAGTCGCAATTGTCATGCAGTGCAGTGGCTCAAGCCTCAATAGGCAAGGAATATGTATAAATAAAGACGCAATATGTGTAAAAATATGTATAAAAATATGAATATGTATAATATGTATAAAAAAAGAATATGTATAAAAAAAGACGCATTTTGCTCAAGTCTAAGCCCCACCTCCCACCTAAAAGGCATATCCTGGTCTGGCATACTAACCAGCAATGCTTGGCACCCACCCAACCACAATACACACCCCCCTCCAACCATTCACCCCTGGTGGAGTCCACAAACAGAAAAAAAAAGTCATTATCGCATGCGAGAAATGGCCCGAAGCGAGTTGGAAAAAGCTTTTTCTGAGAGAAGTGGGTGGCGGCTCTGCGACTCTAAAGTTTAACTCTCCCAATCGCAACCACGAACCGGTAATGCATGTACGAACCGGGTTAAGATCGTGGTGTGTGCCCGGACCCGGACACCACCTGGAGAATATTCGCGACGATGTGGTGCTGCCCTCCGTGGAGCCTGGCCATCATTCGCGCCTGGCACGTCGAAGTGTTCGGTTGTAGTTTAGCGGTTGAGCGGTTGCTGTTCGTCTGTTGTAGTTAGTGGATTCGTGGGTGACGTTAATTAGCCTAGATTAGCTGTGTCTTTCGGCAATTAAGTTGCCATTGCATGTGTAGTTTTGCAAATTATTGATTAACCAGCGCTAACCAGCACCCAACAATGTCGAAGGACGCGGACGTGGAGCAGGCGAAACCCGGCGAGGAGCAACAGGCCGCACCCACAATAGAATCAGCCGCCCCCACCATGGTGTCCACGGCAACGACAGTGATCGCGGTAACAAATGGAGAGGCATCACCAGAAGTGGCACCTGCCGCCGGTACAGAAGCGGCAGCAGAACAAGTGAAACCAGCAGGAACAACAACCATTGCAGGCATTGAACTGGCCGCCGACAAAGGTACACCACCATAAGCAGCACACCTGCAACAGGTAGACAGTGAATGGCATTGGATTTGGCTTCAAGTTTGATTAGTGCAAAGTAAAATCAATTGCTGACAGCCGACCAAGTCGACCAAGCCAAGCCAGCCGAGCTAGCCGTGTTTAGTTTTAGTAAAAGTTGTGGCAAAACGCATACACGCCGACTGGGAATGGGAATGGGAGAGAAAGAGTGATGCACTGCCTCCCCCTTCGGAGGCGCATCACGACTCGCACCGAGCCAGGTTTCACTTCAGTTTTCCAGACAACACACAGACACACACTATTGACTTGCTTTATTTATTTCACTTTTGCTGTCTTCGAATTTTTTACGCTTTTCCAAAGTCATCAGTCCGGTCGTCATCTTACCCCGCTCGGGTTTTTACTTTCTGTGTGCTGGGCTTTGTTGTAGACTTTGTTGTTTCTTTTCAAATTTTGCGCACGATCTGCTGCAACGCTTTGGTGGCCGGCACTGCTGCTGCTGACACGCCCACTTACCCGTAATAATTAAGAGTCATAATCGCAATTAATGTGCCAATTAAATTCCCTTGCCCAGCGCATAAAATATATGTATGTATCGGGTCTCAAAGAGGCTAAATGGAGGAGACCATCTTTGATGACCTATTGGATAATTGAATGGGGGGCTCGTTAGAAATTTAAGCCCATCTCAGCCTAATTATTCAATGACCTTTTTTGGGTTCTAGGGGCACTCTCATTACCCGCCGAATTTCGCGAGGAATTTAATTTATTTAATGTGTCATCGACATACCACACACCACATCATCGCCACACCAGGTACACGCCTCAGATGCTATTTAAAGCTATTAATATCAGATGGTCTCTCTATGTGGAGGACCGACTGATAACATTTTCCGGCCGCAGTCCCGGTTAGACAGATAAAATATAGAATAACCCTTCATTGGCGAACACACACACCAGTTCCAAGTAAACAAACAAAAATGTTTACGCTGAATTAGCCAAATTAGGCCTCTCGAGGGCCTGCGAACAGGCTTTCCCCATAAATATGAAACATGATAGCTGATATGTTTGGATCTCGCAACCGTCAGACTATTTTTCCCCCAAGGAACAGTTGTTTCCTGTAATCCAGATCGAATCAAACGGAAGCTAATGAGTTCAAGGGGGTTTACTTACAATTTTGGCCATAAACTATTATTTTAGCAGCATAATCGTCTGTAATCAGTAACTTTTCGAGGCTATTTTAATCTCAAGTCACCGAGAAAAGGCGATAAACCATAAACCAATTACATGTGTTTGTGAAGAGTACTCTACTTTTGGGCCTTCTGAAATCTATATCGGTAGATTAGATAGATGATAGTGGAAGAAATGCCCATGGGAGGTACTCTGAACTCATTATGTTCTCCGCACTTTAGGCAGCAACAAAACCAACATGGATCCGGCGCTCATAAACTTCAAGGTGCTCTATGTGCTGACGCAGCTGGTGGGCTTGACCATGATCGTTCTGGTGGGCACCTGGATTGGCCAACACTTTGGCGGCCTGGGCGGGACATCCAATCCCAAGCTGGAGTTTAACTGGCATCCGCTTTTCATGACGATCGGCTTCATCTACCTGTACGGCAACTGTAAGTAGGGCAAAGGAAGGAGCGCCACTTGGACTTTGATTTGCAATTTTTGGCGACGATCCCACAGCCATACTCATCTACCGTGGCTTCCGCACCACGCGCAAGAAGACTCTGAAGCTCACCCACGCCGGCATCCACTTGGCCGCCTTCGTTCTCACCGTGATTGCCCTGAAGACGGTCTTCGATTCCCACAATCTGGCTAGTCCGCCCATCCCAAATATGTATTCTCTGCACTCGTGGCTGGGCCTCTCCGCGGTGATCATATTCTCGCTTCAGTATGTGGCTGGTTTCGTGGCCTTCTTGGCTCCTGGTCTGCGGGAGAACTACCGCATCGCGATGATGCCGCTCCACATATACTTTGGTCTGTTTGGCTTTGGGCTGGCGATTGCCAGTGCCCTCATGGGAATCACCGAGAAGGCTATCTTTGCCATGTAAGTATCTGGGATTGAATGATGGCTAGGAATATTATAAGCTTCAGGAATATCATACATCAAATCCCACAATTTTGCAGCACCAATCCACCCTATTCTACTCTGCCGCCTGCCGGTCTCCTGGCCAATGTTATTGGAGTTCTCTACGTGGTATTCGGCGCCCTAGTCGTCTATCTGGCCACCGAACCTTCGTATAAGCGCAAGCCCATTCCCGAGGACACGGCCCTTCTCACCTCGAGCTCGGCCAACGAGTAAGGAATCTATTTGGATCCCCTGCCAGCTGCAGTACTTACTTGGACGCCAAACTCTGTGCACAAAACCAACCACAAACCGAAAACCAAACGAAACTGGAACCTGATCCCATGGATGGTGCTTTTTTGAGACATCGGGGATACCTGTTGTTGTATTCGTCGAGATGATTGTTTCTTTCTGTAGAAAATAGATAAATTAATGACTATGTATAACCTCGATCTATCCACATACGTATACCTGCATCGAAAACGGGTGCAACGCGAGTGCTCAAACTTAACGTGCTTAACCTCAAGAACATATTTATGCTGTAAACAGTACCAACTATGCTTTATTATCGTTTTGTGTTAAAATATTGTACGTTTAAATAAACTCGTAACACTAACATTCACCCTCACAGCTAATACTCCCCCCAGTCAGACGTTCTGTCTCCTTCGACTCGACTCCATCCAACTCCTCGCCCAACTCCTCATCCAACTCCTCCATCCCCTCATCTAAGCCAACTCCCGAGCTGGGCGAATAAGTGCCAACGAAGCTGGGCGCGAATCTCAGGCTTAGTTTTTCAAAAAGCATGTCGTCGCTGTGGTTTGGATCTGGATTGTGGTTGGGCTGGAACTCGAGGTCTTCATTCAAACCAACCAAGAAAGTGGGCACCTCTCCCAATCCCTTTACAAATGTCATTCCACGGTAGTTGCAGCGAATATTGAAGCGCCGCAGAACGAATGCAGTACCCAGGGTTACGTGGATTTCGTTGAGAACTCCGGTGGTGGTCATTCGGGAGGCCATGTTGACGGTGTGTCCCCAGATGTCGTAGTAGGGCTTTGATAGTCCTACCACGCCGGCCATTACGGAACCGTGTGCGATGCCTAAAAGGGGGGTTTTTTAAAATTAAGATTCCTGATTTATGATTAAGATTTAAAGACTTACCTATTTTAAGGTTACCCTTCAGGGCATCCTCAATCTTCCGCATTACCCGCAGCAGGCCCAGAGCAAAATCTGCCATCACAACGACTGCCATATCGTCCTCATCGTGATCCCATTTGGACTGGGTGTGCTCTGAGGAAGCATTACCCGACTCAATTGACCCCAATCGAAAGCTCACTGAAAAAAACCACAATTGTAATGGTCAGTGAGAAGGATTGAAGTCAAAGCTACCGGTGGAGCGCCGTCGAGACTCGGAGCTTAGCTCGGACAGCTCTGGAATGTGTAGCGGTGGATCCGCGCTGTGGTCTACCTCCAAGCCACAGGCCACCATGTACGTCCAGCCCATCACCTTTATCTTTTCGATTTTGTACTTATTCTGGTAGGTGGCGAGTAGATCGTCGAAGAAGCAAATGAACTCGTGCAGTGCTCGCAGACCCATCACGTCCTCCACACCCTGCTCTATGGTGGCGAACATCACGGCCACCTTGTCAAAGTTCTCATAGTAGAGCTCATCGTGGCGCTGGCGTTCCTTAAAAACCTCGGCCACATGCGAGGGCAGCATGTTGGCCATGATGATCTTTATCGAGTGGGTCCTATAGGTGGTTTCCTTCATCTTTTCCTCGTACCTGAGGCGCATGCTGCAAGGATAGATTTAGTATCCCCTTTAGTGGGTAAACCTTTTAAAAATGTGTGGATACGTACAAAAAACAGGACTTCTTGATGTAAGCCATGTGACGTCCCAGGAGCGCATAAATTACAAAAAAGGTTAACAGGTACCACGTGTGGGCGTAATCCGACCTCAGTCCCTCGACGGTGGATTCCGAGCGCTCGAAGGCCAGCCCGTAGAAGGTGTGGATGGTGCAGAAGTGGGAGGCCACCAGAATGGCACTCACTATCAGCGTAAGGAAGAACGGAAATCCGTCAATGATGAGAAGGAGGAAGAGTATTATCGTTACGCCATAGGTCACAGACTGCGGGGACACAACCCAGGACTTAGCATTTAAAGAGGATTCTGAAAGTGGGACATACCCAGGGCATAAAGCAAGTGCTTATAGGATTTTCATTCACTAGATTGGTCACGATAATGTCCACCTCCAGCTGGGCAATGTCACAGGAATACTGCAATGTATTAGTCATAGATATTATGTAAGACACCATGGAATTAACACTACTAATAGATACCCACCACTCGCAAAGTCGCCAGAAAGTAGAGAAGGATCACTCCTTGAATGACGAGTGCCGACCGAAAGTACCAAGCATACTCCGCGAGCTGGGAAAGCTTAAAGAGGCACAAGCTGAAGAAGGCCGTGGGATATTCCGATGCGGGGTTTCGCTGGGTTTGGAGCCACAGCTTCTTGTAGACGGCTACCAAACACAAGAGAAACAGAGCCACCAGCAAACCAAAAAATACCGGTAGGCGCTCAGTACTGGTGCTGCGTGGCAGAAGAATTCTTGGTTAGAAGAATGCTTCTGTGTTCCCGCAGAGCACTTACCCGTCGACAATGCCCATTAGAAATATTACCAGCCCAGCCAGGAACATCAGCGTCATGCTGTACGTGATAAGATAGTCCGGTTGGTTGTGGAACCTCTTCTCCCGCTTCCAGCTGCGAAATACCGGAATAAGGAAGTGCACCTGTCCGTTGAACATAAACCGTTCGGTAAGCTTTTCAATGGCATCGCTCCTGTCGGTGCAGTTGCATAGGTCGTCTCGTCCAACTGGCAGTTTCTCCACCTCGTGGACCATTTCGCGCATCGTCTTCGTCTCGATGTCATCGTAAATGTCGCCCAGGCTGAAGCGATATGAGGTTACCGAGGAGCTGCTGACGACCTCTTCCTCCGGATCCGAAAATTCAAAATCATGGTCGCTCACTCGTCCGCTGATTAGGTATGTGTGGACCTGTGCCTTTTTCAAAATCGGGTCCTGCCTGGCCTGTTCGGTGCCCTCCTCGAACAAATACTGATCGTCCAGCAGCCTCAACGTCCGCGCCGACACGTGCACCATTCCGGGACGTCCAGATCCTTCCAGGCGATTGGTGATATCGACGTCCTTCGACCAGATGTCGAACTGCCACCTAATCCGCCCGATGATCCCCGCCAGCAACTCTCCGGAGTGCACTCCGATGCGCAGATTGATGCTCAAATGGCGCCGGTGGCTCAGGTCCTTCGTAATACTGATCATCTCCAGAGCCTGGTCCACGCAGCTATTGGCGTGGTTGGGAAAGAAGACGGGGATGCCAGCTACACAGTTGTAGGCATCGCCCAGGAACTTTATGCGAAGCGACCTATTTTTTTTGGCTGCCAAGTCATAGTTGACGAATAGCTCGTGCAGGATCTCCACCAGATCAGACACCTCCAAAGTCGTGGTTAGATACGTATAGTTTACCATGTCCGCTACCAGAATGGAAACTTCCGGGAAGGGCTCGATGAATAGTTTTCTGTGAGAGTTATACTTTGGGATGAGCATCCTTGTGAAGAGGCTACTCACCGTGTAAAGGAACTACGACGTGGAAAGTCATCGTCGTCTTGGAGACGGCTCTTGACATCCTCTTGAAGGGTACGCACCATGGTACGTGGAAGAATGGACTCCAGCAGGTCCTTCTCTTTCTTCATGACCGCCTTTAGAGCCAAGTTCTGGAAGACCATCTGATACCGTGTCAGTATGACCCGTAAAAACCTATACTCCCTGGCGCAAACAAAAAATACCAGAACCAGGTTGATAAAAAATAGGTACGATGCATATGCAATGAGCGCAGCCACTGATGATTCCCTGGTGTCGACCGACCAGGCAACATAGGTGATATAGATCATGGATACTGCCGCGCCGAGATAGACACTATTGTAGCCCTGGTAGGCAATGGGCAGCATCGTGTAGACCGAGAGAAGTACTAGATGATCGTAGCATGGTACCACCGGAAACCGTGGCTTCTGACAAATGACCACTACAATGTCTGTGGATGAGAGGGTCAGGGATTGCGAATACTTTTAGTGTTCTACCCAATCTACCCATTAAAGAAAGCAAGAGCCCCGTAACCCAACTGCAGATAAAGTGGATGATGTAGTAGGTTTCATTGTCTCGAAGGCTTAACATCAAAAAAAGTGGCATAATGACCATCAATATCATTTCGGGCAGCAGAGTAATCAGTTCCAGATCCTAAAAAAAGGTTATATGAGTAACAGTTTAAAATTCCACAAGATTTCAAACCTTTATCATGACAACCGCCATTATAATATGAGAAGCCAACAACATTTCCATAAATATAATAAATCGAGTAAAATTAAATACAGCAGAGCGTACTCGGTGGCGATCCACAATTCCTTCCAACTTCAAGTCTCTACATTTTTTCTGAAAATCGAGAAACATTTTCAAATACATACGTTTAGATGATACTAAGGTCTACCCGTAGCTCCAACCATTCCAAGCCCCGGATCCTGGTCAACGAGTGAAAGTCCAACACTTCATCTTTAACGGCTTTAGCTTTCATTGCGACCTCGCAGATATAAAAATTTCGAAAATTATGTTCGGCTATTATGTTTTGACGCAAATGTAAACTGAACCTTTTTCTCACAAAATATCAACAATTATCATTTACTAATAGTACTCTTAGTACCTGAAATTTAAAAACAAGGAGATATAAAATCTATGGTTTTTGTAATGTGATCCCTTGAAAATGGGGGTTTCGCCTATAGGACCCACAATGATGGCTATATCTTCCCCAATTCTCAACCGATTCTCAAGCGGAGTACCTTAAACGATTTCTAGATCGATTCTCCACCATTCTGCATCAAAATCCTAAGACAAAATATTTTTTAAATTTTTTGTCCATTTTTCCTGATGGGATCCCTAGAAAATGGGGTTTTCCCCTATAGGGCCCACGGTGATGGCTATATCTTCCCTAATCTTGATCCGATTCTCCAGCGGAGTACCTTAAACGATTTCCAGATCGATTATCCACCATTCTGCATCAAAATCCTAAGACAAAATATTTTTTAAATTTTTTGTCCATTTTTCGTGATGGGATCCCTAGAAAATGGTGTTTTCCCCTATAGGGCCCACAGTGATGGCTATATCTTCCCCAATCTTGATCCGACTCTTATGCGGAGTACCTTAAACGATTTCTAGATCGATTCTCCACCATTCTGCATTAAAATCCTGAGACAAAATATTTTTTAGTGCCTTTCGATTTTAGTAGGTGGACCAGAAAAATCTGTAAATAATTTTCCTCAACTTGTAATGGTCTTGGAAAAATTTGGAAAAAGGGTTTTATTTTTTGTTGCAAGATTTTAATAAAAAATGATGGTATTCTGGAACGTATACCTTTTACGAACCTGCCAAGTACTAAACGAGCTATACAAATTTTCCACCAAGAAGATAAAAAAAAAAATTGCAGTCCAGGAACATTATTTATTTTGGTGAAGTAACAGCCATTTCTTATGAGTAGAGATCTGTTTTTCATAAATTCCATAGTTTTTTGTACTACAATGTTACCCCGCTTGACAGATCATCAGCAGAATATGAGGCTTGTATTAATACAAAAAAAAAATGGTTCATATGTATGTATAATGGGAACTGAGTGGCAACTAAGGGAGTCAGCAGTCGCTGCCAATTCTTATCGCCCCGAATCAATTCTTATCGTCTTGATGCAGCTTTTTCTGTGTGTCTTCTGTATTTCAACTGGTACGCAGAATTTCGTCATGGGGATTCGTGCGATAGGATTCGGCCCGACCGGCCGGTTACTTCTCCTCGGACCACTCGTTCTCCTTGCGAAATTGATCCATCTTCCTGATATTGAAGATCATTCGGATTTCCTCCGGTGTCTTGCCCTTGATCATGTCGGCCACAGCCTTGCACGTGAGCTCCAGCAGGTCCTTGATGTCCAGATAGTTGGCCGCCATGATCAGTTCGAAGAGGGCCTCCCGGTCCACCTTGAGGAATTCGGCGTCCCTCGACTTGATGTCGTCGATGCGCTTGGCCTTACTCTCATCGTCCTCTCTTGGCTTCGGGTCGTTCTTGTGGTAACGGGCCCACTCCAGAACCTTGCGTAGGGTAGTAGAGTTTACTTTGAGCAACGGCACAATGTCGTTTTCGTCGTCCCCCATGCCGCAGTCCTCCAACATGTTCGTAATGGTGCCGGAGCACTTGACAATTTCGATGTCTGTGTCGAAGATCTCCCCGTCGGAGGATTGCAGCTTGATGATCGGCATTTTCGGTTCAAAGAATGATTTTTCTTAACGATTAAAGTTTGCTGCGAAGAAAAAAAACAGAAAACAGAATAAAAAGAACTGCGCAGCTTTTTTTTTTGTGAGATCTTTTTACGACTTTTTTATAAAACGATAAGATTAGTGTTGCCGAATCTGACGGTATCGCACAAATAGTCATGAGCTTTACAGCACTAGAGATAATGCTTCAAAAGTACACACAGACTTTCCATTATTCCATCTCCATTTTTCTACACAAGTGTTTTTTAAAAATTCTCCATTTTTTTTTGCTTAGGACGCGATAAAAATTTGTCCCCAACGATGTCGCGGAACGGATAAGGTGACTACCTTGTTAAGTATCGATAGTCAGTCAGTTTGAATTAAGCGCCACTAGCATTAAATTCGCGGTTTCCATTTTGTTTATTTCTGGCCACACTAAAGTTACGTTAAGTTTGGCGCCACAGATACTTGGATCAACGATCCCAGAGAAAGAGGGAGGAGATACTGCGGACGGTCAAATATATTACAAAGTTGAAGTCTCTTTCCGTTACCCATAGCTCCGCCAATGATATAAAGTAACATTTCGTTTTCAGGAAACTCAGAAGCAACTTTCCTCATTCAAAACATTGCTTAAAGGGGTTTTCCACCAAGAAGATAAAAAAAGAAAGGTGCCCTTTTGGTACCGTCCAAAAATGTTATTTATTTTGCTGAAGTAATCGCAATTCTTATGAGTAGACTTCTGTTTTTCATAAATTCCATACTTGTGTGTACTTCAATGTTACCCCGCTTGACAGATCAGTAGTATATGAGGCTTGTATATATACAAACAAAAAATGGTTCATATGTAGAATGTGAAATGAGTGGCATCTACCATCTAGGAAAACCAGGAAGTAAGGGAGCTGCAGAATCGTGTCTTGGTACAGCTTATTCTGTGTGTGTTCTGTGTACTCCTGTGTACTTCAACTGGTACACAGAATTTAGTCATGGGGATTCGGGTGATAGAATCCGACCGGCTTGTATATGTATGTATATATGTACTAACAAAAAATGGTTCATATGTAGAATGTGAAATGAGTGGCATCTACCATCTAGGGAAAGCAGGAACTAGGAGCTGCAGCTTATTTTGTGTGTCTTCTGTGTACTTCAACTGGTATACAGAATTTAGTCATGGGGATTCGGGCGATAGACTTCGACCTCCTCGGACCACTCGTTCTCGTTGCGCAATTGCTCCTCCTCGTCGGGCGTGATTTCCTTCTTGATGTTTAAGGTCAATCGGATTTCCTCCGGTGTCTTGCCCTTGATCATGTTGGCCAAAGTCTTGCACGTGAGCTCCTGCAGGCCCTTGATGTTCAGATAGTTGGCCGCCATGGTCAGTTCGAAGAAAGTGCCCTGGTCCACTTTGAGGAAGTCGGCGTCCCACGGCATAATGTCGTCGGTGCGCTCGACCTTGCTCTCATAGCCCTCTTTTGGCATCGGTCTGTTCTTGCTCTCATCGTCCTCTTTTGGCTTCGGGTCGTTCTTGTGGTAACGGGCCCACTCCAGAACCTTGCGTAGGATTGTCGAGCTTACGTTGGGCAACGGCACAATGGTGTTTTCGTCGTCCTCCATGCCGCATCTCTCCAACATGGTCTTAATGGTGCCGGAGCACTTGACAATTTCGATGTCTGTGTCGAAGATCTTCCCGTCGAAGGATTGCAGCTTGATGATCGGCATTTTCAATTCAAAGATTGATTTTCCTCAACGATTATAGTTTGCTGCGAAAAAAAAAACAGAAAACAGAATAAAAAAAAACTGCGCAGCTTTTTTTTTGTGTGATATTTTAGTTTTTGATTATCAAAATTTGACAAAACAATAAAAGTAGGGATGCCGAATCTGACGTTATCCAACACATAATCATGCGCTTTACAGCACCAGAGATAAGCCTCCTACAGTACACACAGACTCTCCATTATTCCACCTCCATTTGCCTACACACGTGGTTTTAAAAATTCGCCATTTTTTTTTCTGTTTAGGACGCGACGCAGATTTGTCCACAAAAGACGAAAGGAATTATAATCTGGAGGTGAGCTTAGGAAAGAAATGGTTCCGCTGACGTGCCGAAAAGGAAAACATAAACAGAACCTTGTATCCACGGCCCCGGACAAAATTACAAAGTGGTAAAGTAATACCTATTGTTGAAAAAAAAGTGTATTTAAAAAAGTGTGTGCATTATAATTCTTTCTATTTCAGCTGCAGAGCCCAGGGTCTATCATCCTTAAGAATACAATTTTTGCCGTCTTCAACCCAAGTTAGTATTGTTGAAATTGGATATTCATTTTTATATATTCATTCATGCTTTTTATTTTCAGCTACCGAGTAAAAGAGGACGACTTAATATCAGGACACGTATTTTATAGACTCTAGCTAGATGGCTTCATCTGTTTCCATAACTGTGAGGACCCCATGTGTGTTAACACACTAGATAGTAGCTATGTATGTACATATATGTAGGTATATAAATGCTGCCACGTCATTTTTCATACCATTTTTGATGTCCGATCGGCATAAAATATTCAGAATACACATCTAGACAAACGGCTATAAAGAAAATGTAAGTGGTATTGGAATCGTATAGCCTTTTTGTCATAATTTAATGTTTTAACTATTTCAGATACCAGTTATAATGAATGGAACACTGAAACATGCAGGACATTGGACAGAAGATTAAAAGAAAAAACAGAATCTTGTTGAAATCCTGGAGAACTAGGAAAACCACCTGAAAAACTAAGACAAAGCCCATACAATTAACTAGAAAATAAGAAAAGTCCTTTTTGTTTATTAAGGAAACTTAAATTGTATTTATTTATTGTAAGACAACTTTAAATTGTATTTTATTTAAGGATACATTTATGCAGATCGTTGTGGTTTGGTCCTCTGCGTTTTATGACTCTTCATGTTAAAATTGGATAAAAATAGCTAAATTATAGGTTAAAAAAAAAAAAAAGTTGTATTGGCCAAAAAATGTTTTTGGTCAAAAAGGTTTAAGCCAAGTTAAGGTTTTTATATTAATAAAGTGAATTCCTACCCTAAATCATTGAACGCATTCTGTTTTGAAGAGAAAGAGCAGAGCTCGAAGTTCGCCGTGCTGCCGGCCATTTTATAATTCGCAACCAGTTCAAGCGTCGGAAAAGTATAAATAGAGAGTCGCTGCACCGAAATCCTTTTTCAAAATACATAGTATCTTGGCTATTTACCGTCCGATTTTGATGAATAATGTCTTAAACGACTCGTAGGAACCTATTTGAGCGATTGATGCAAAAAAATTCCCAAAAATCATCCAACAAATTTTTAAGTAACAAATCTCAAAATTTTTTTGCATCAATCGCTTAGGTCGGTTATCCTGAATCGTTTAACACCACTCCCGTCGAAATCGGTTAAGAAATGGCAGAGATAATAATTAAAAAAAACTTTATTTCAGGGAAGCGACCTTCTATTTATACTTTTCCCACGCTTGAACTGGTTGCGAATTATAAAATGGCCGGCGGTCACCAAAAATTTTCGTAACGGCTTAATTAGAGATGAGCGTCAAAAATACTGGAACTAAAAGCTGTGGAACTAGTTCATGTTTTTAATCGATATATCGATTGACAGTCTATACAATTACATACATTATACATGTAAGTTACATTTACATTACAAAAAATGTAATGGTAAATTACAGAAATTCATTACTACATAGGTATTTTACTTACCAAATATGCCAAAAAAAGATTGCTATGAAAAATCTTAAACATGTGTTTTCGATATAAATGCTTTCTTCTGCCACCGCATATTTAATTTTATTTTAATCTCTTTATTTGTATACAATTTTTTAAATAAATACATATACGATTTGGTGCTAAAATACTCACAGTTTATCATTTTTATTTTACAAATTTATTCTGAAGATGGTTTGGATGTTGTATTTTTCCTGCCCGCCGATTCTAATGTTTTAGCTTTTATTGCATATAAATAAATTTCTTTCATATGTTTTTTGTATACTCGATTAGGTAATTGGCTCATTTTTTTACCATTCTGTGGTGTATTTGTAAATTTAGAATTGTTTCTCGTTAACACTTACGTGACGTAAAGACTGTGTGTGTATATGAATATATAAGAATAACTAATGTGTAAAGTGAATAATACCATTTTTGAGTCAATAATAGTAATGATATAAGATCTGATTTTTAGCCGTATGTCTTCGGGTACTAATAATAAGATAGATTTCGTTTATATTCGTATGGAATAAGAAGAAACGTGATAGTCTTGGGAGGAAGATTTGAAAGGGCCTTATCCGGGTGCGCATCCCGGCTAGTCCTCGTCGTCCTTGATGGCTTCGCTGTTGCGCGACATCTTCATGTAGGCGGCACAAATGCACTCACACACAAAGCGGTACTGACTCTGTTATGACAGTTTTAAGTGAGAAATGTGGTTAAATTTTAGCCAAAAAGACACTTTACTTACCACATTTTGAACCATACAGGCGCGCTGGTCACGCATCGTGCGAACAATGTCCAGCGGATAGACCGGTTCCCGGGCCTCCATCAGTGCCAACGCTGTGTCCATCAATATAAGCACTCCGGTTCGCCCGATGCCCGCCGAACAGTGGACAATCACAGGGGGGTTGGCGGCACTGATACATCTGAAAACAAATCCAGATTTGTATTAAAAATATTTAATAAACCTCCTTCCGCAGGCACATACTGGTGAACACTGGTGGAAACGGGTGTCTCGTCCTCGGGGGTGGCTCCATTGCTGGCTGCGCACTTGCGCTCCCGCATCAGACCACCGTTCTCGTCGGCATCAGCGTCTGCGTCCATGAGACGCACCTGCTTCAGACTCTCCTCGATCTCCTGAAGCAGTGTGCGGCTGCGAGCGGATCGCACTCGTTCCGTGAACTCAAGGAAGAGAATGGGATCGGAGGGCACACAGTGGTCCGGCCAGGCCAAGTATTGCATGTGGTGTATGTGCCTCTGCTCGTGCTTGTCTTTCAAAACGAATTCCCGGAAGACAAAGCTGCCGGTTTCGTCTGGTGTCTCGCTTAGGCAGCGCACTGAGAAGCCCTCTGCTAGCTGCAGTTCTTCGCCGGTCACTGGCCAGTACTGATGGCACTTCTGACGACCGGCCTCCATCACTGTGGTAAGCATAACTAACAGGTGGCTACTCTCCTGTTGCACCATGCGCCAAAAGTCTGTTGTTGTACTTGCCAGTGGACCCTGGGTAGCTATGTAGCGGTTTACGGCTCCGCCTGGAATCTCCATGTTAACATAGTTGGCGTTTATATAGTCACCGGTGAGCGAATTGATTAGAGAGACTCGTGTGCAATCATCTATAATAAATATTTCGATTTTAGTCAAGTCTTTGGGAATGTATGGATTTACTTACATGGCGAAATGTCCCGATATCTATTTTTGGCCGCGTTAATAGGTTTCCGAGCTTCTGTTATGGCCAGATCGGGGTTCTTCCGGTACATCAGTTCGTATTGAGCCAGCAAAGCACCCGAGGCTAACCCATCGCTGAGCAGCAGCAGGCTCTGGGTGAACAAAGCATCCCCGTCCAGAAGATTGGAGTGCGAACCGATTTCGTCGCTTTCAGGCACGTACTGGTATAACGGCTCCTCCTCGTACATTAGCGGAACTGAGCGTTGAGGTCGCACCGTAAGTAACAGCTCCCCGCTGGGCTGATGACGGCACTCCCTAATCATGGCTACCACCTGTTCATGGCGAAGGCCGTGCACGTCTCTGCCATTGATCATCAGCACTTCGTCGCCCTCGCAGACCCGCGGAGTGCAGCGGTCGGCCGGTGTGTGGGGAACCACCTTTGAAACCAGCACGGGTAAGCTTAGATCCACGCCACCTTTGACATTGAAACCGTATCGTCCCTGTTCATCAGCCTGTAACCGGATGGTGATGAGGTCGCTGCCGCTGTCAGGCTGCTGTTGGCCCACAGCATCGGCGATTGTCGTTGGAATCAGTAGCGGGCTGTGCTTTCCGGAACTGTAGGCTGGGGGCATGGGCGAAGGCGAAGCTGATTCGTAACGGCGAGTACACTGTTCGATGAAACCGACATCTCTGAAAGAAGAGCATATGGGGTTCATTAAAATTTAGGAAAAAAAAAAAAACACAATTCTCCAACTTACAGCTGAATATCATATTCGTCGCTCTGCTGCTCCCATGCTTTCCTCGGCTTAGATTCAGCCTCTTTAGACGTCACTTTGTTATCATGAGGACGACTCGTTTTAGTGATGGTTAGAATGGTTCCACCTGCTGAAGGCCTCCCGTTGTGCGAGGCAGCGCTCTCCGATCCGCTGTTCTGCAAAGGTGTTCCGCCAGAGGACCCTGATGCCCCGCTCGCCAGTCCAGCTGTACCGGCTGCTCCCAGCAACCGTTTACTCGGTGACCGCACAAAAACCTTGTGAATGCGGCCTCGCTGTTTGGAATCCTGAACTGCTTGCAGTTCTGTGCGGCCGGAATAGTAGAACTTGCTACCAAGACTCATGTTGAGGAAGCGCGAAAGGCGATGCGGACGCTTCAGACGGAAGAAACTGTGGTGCTCCACACAGGACTTCCACAAAGCCTTGGCATGCTTGTGGCTGCACATCCCGAAGCCCAGAAGGGTGTCGTAATTCTCGCTTAGCTCACGTCGCAGCTGGATGAAGAAGTCCTTCCTCTTGAAGGACACCTTGACCATCTTGCTCCACGAGAAGGTGTTCACGCGCAGAGAATGCTGGAAGACGAGCAGGCCCACCGCAGAGACACCCAGCTGTAGCTCCTTGCCATTCGAATCGGTGGCCTTATGCAGATCTATTCCATACAGCTCCAAGCGTTTGGCGTGCTCGAGGTAGTTGTACTCGGCGTCCGCCGGTAGTTGTCCACGGTGCAGCTTGTGCAGCTCGCCCACCTTGCGCTCCGCCTCCACCGTCTGTTCGGAGAGTAGCTGCAGACTGCTCAGGTAGCCTGGTTGGTGTTCCGTGGCATTGAAGTCTCCAAACTCGGCTGTAATACATAAGACAGTTTATGAGGAATTCTTGATTTTATATCCCATTGACTCACATTGCACAGTGTAACTGGCAAGCAGGCACTGCGTGTTGCTGGAGCATGGCAGGATACCCGACAGGATGTGGCGCTTGATCTGAAGATAAAACTGGTAGCGAGTAAACTCCTCCTGCAAGCGGCTCGGGTCGCTCACAAAGAACTGTTGAAAATGATGAGAATTTAGATTCGAATTCAAAGGAAAGAGTATGTCACCTTACCTTAACCCTAAACTCTAATAATGGAACGGAATCGTTGTCGAGCTGGACGCTGCTGCATTGCTTTTTGAACTGCTTCTGTGCATCAACCCATCTCTAAAAATATAGAAAGAATTAGTCTATATTGTAGTAGAGTCCCAAAGAGGATACTTACCACAACGTCCCCTGGTTTTTGGGGAAATAGTAGACCGAAGTAGTCCCTTTCGGATAACTCGAGGTACTGGAAGACCTGCTCTAAGAGCTCAGAGCCCTTCGCTCTCCTCTGTAACGTTAATTATATTTAATTATATTTTAAATGAAAATCATCTTGCAGACAAATATTGTAAGCCTATGAGTGCAGCCCAGTGCGTGTTCAGACCAATTCGCATAAAAAAAAAATTCAAAACCCATCGTACGAATAAATGAACAACACTTTCAAAACTTTCTTTCAAAACCGCATAATTACGCGCATGGCTAATGCACTTGACTTCAAGATATAATTGTAAGGGGGCTTGACTTCAAGATAGTTGATAGGTGGGGCGGTTACCTCGATCCGAAAGGTGTGTGTGATGTCATCTAGGAACAAGACGGTGACGCATTGCTGCCGCTGGGTGTTTTTCTTGTCTCGCGCCAGTTCTGGGCCGCCTCCTCTTAGACGGATGTTTCTGCTCAGGTTGCTCAGTCGGAAGCGCTCAAACATGACCGAACTCCATCCTGGACGACTGCTCACTGGAATGAGGCTGTATCTGGGTTTGGGACTGACGTCGTCTGGCAGTACGTATTACAACTTGGAGGGCTATGATTGCGGTTGCTCCTGGCTCGGTTTCGTTTACTGTTTAGAAAAATTGGAAGGAATATCTTGCAGATTTGGCTATTGTTTGTTGTCTTTTCAGATAGCTTTATTAGATCCTGGATTCTGAAAGAGATATTAAAAAGAAGTAAGTACTTTAGGCTTGAAATAATGACCAGTTTCTTTGATGTTCTTGGTTTAACATTCTATGAAGAGCCGTTCTCTGACCAGTTCTATGTTTAATTGGCTTAAATTGACTTTTCTTAACTGGGTCAGTCAATTTTCCACCAATGCTTTTGAGTTTTTGCAACTAGAGACCTGGGACTTTGTCTAGAAACTACATATATGATGGTTTGTTTGAGGAGAAAGAGGGGTATGAGTCCCTCAATTTAGAGAGTTCTCCGGAGGTTCTAATATTTATGGTTCTATCACACATATCCAAGTTGCAATAACTTGCCTATGTTGGCAAGACAACAGGCTTTCAGGTGTGTTTTATAGATTCTCCACTTTCCAAGGATGTCTATGGTATTTTATTGGGAATTTAATTTTTTTTCGAAATTGATTTTATTTCGTGCCAAGAGCGAATGAATTACACACACAACACACTACTTGGTCGGCATTAATTATTGGCTGGGGCATGCATTTGTAGGGTTTATGTCTAGCCCGTTATGCGCCAGGGTTGCCATGCACGCACGCTGTTGAAGGGTGACTAGAAAGAGAAGATGGGGGGGTTTAGTCCGCTTATCGCTTGTTTGCCGTCTTATTTTTATGGGGACTGGTGTTGTGGAGGTCGGGGGGGGCTCATCACCGCACCCCTTGTGTTTGTGTAGCATTCCTCCTAGGCTATTTTTGAGTTCTTATTCCACATGCAACTCGACAACAATACAAAAACAGCCCCAGCTAAAAACCCGGGCGACATATGCATGTATATGTATTGTTAAGACATCTATTATTATTACTATTAATAGTTAATATTAATTAACTAGTTGCAGAGATGAGTTTCCCTGGATTTCCAGTTGAGTAATCCAGTCTTCATCTTGTACAGATTGTAGATACATATGGGATTCGAGTGCATTTAGCTCTTTTCTATAAAGAAACCGGCAATCTGAGTTGCTTATCTGAGTAGGCGGCTGTTGCGGGTGCGTATGCAAGAGAGTTCTGCCAGCCACGAAACAAAAAAAAAAGGGGGAAAAAAAACAATAACAATCTCAGTCGATGAAAGAGGTCGGTTGAGTCACAAAAGAAAGTAGTAAAGTGTCTTCGTCTTGCACATCTCACCTTTTTTTTTTTTTTTTGAACGTTCGGCTACTTCCGTACTTGAGTTGCGACAACTAAGATTTTTTTTTGTGTATATATGTACATTAATGTCTTCACATAATAGATTTCCTGCTCACGACTCTCGAAGCAAGGAGGCAAGGAAACATAGGCGGGAACAGCTTCGTTGGGCAATCAACACAAATTGACAACAAAACACAAAAAAAAACATAGACAAGTTCGATATTTAACACAAAGACTGGTATTTCATTCCAGTTTTCTTTTAAGGGAAAAACTTAAACAAACCGAAGTGAATGAAAAGTAGAACTGATGTAAGTATCGATTCCTCGGGTATCGGCTCTGCGTATTTTTATCGATATTTCTTATCGTTCCAAAGACCTTCCTCAACAGGTGCCACAATTTATTTGTGTATCATTTAAACTTTAATCATACAAACAAAAAACAAAAATACAAAACCAGTATTGAATGCGACGTCAGATTACAATTGAAGGTTTTAAAAAATATCGATGAAAATAATACATTTCAAATGTAAAATACTTTTTACATAAAAAATACTATATCAACGCATTTCGTAAAAGTATCGTACGTCAAACGTTCATTGCGGCAGGTTGGCATGTCCATGTAAATTTCAGGTACTTTTTTGATGCTGTCTAAGTGGAACGGTGGTTTCTTAAGCGAAGTACCTTAAACGATTTGTGGATAAATTCTCCATCGTTCTGAATCAAAATCTAGCAACAAAATATTTTTCAGATTTTTTGTCAAATTTTCTGGAGGTCTCCTTCAAAAATGGGGAAAATACTTGAAATGGCAATAGGGCTCCCTGCGATGGCTATATCTTCCCCAATTCTCATCCGATTCTCAAGCGAAGTACCTTAAACGATTTCTGGATCGATTTACCACCATTCTGCATCAAAATCCTGACACAAAATATTTTTTAGATTTTTTATCCATTTTTCCTGATGGGATCCCTCGGAAATGGTGTTTTTCCCTATAGGGCCCCCTGCGATGGCTATATCTTCGCCAATTCTCATCCGATTCTCAAGCAGAATACCTCAAACGATTTCTGGATCGATTCTCTACCATTCTGCATAAAAATCCTGACACAAAATATTCTTCAGATTTTTTGTCCATTTTTCCGGATGGGATCCCTCGGAAATGGGGTTTTTTCCTATGGGGCCCCCTGCGATGGCTATATCTTCGTCAATTCTCATCCGATTCTATAGCGAAGTACCTCAAACGATTTGTGGATCAATTCTACATCATTCTGCATCAAAATCTAGCAACACAATATTTTTGAGATTTTTTGTCAAATTTTCTGAAACACCCCCTTTAAAAATGGGGAAAATGCTTGGAAAGGCAATGTGGCCCCCTGTGATGGCTATATCTTGCCCAACTTTCATCAGATTCAAGAGCGAAGTACCTATTCTAGAGATTCTTCATATCATGAGAACGAAATATTTAAGAGAGCCTCAGAAACAGAGTATCTCTCTGGGGCCAGCTGAAGTGCACGGTCGCGAAAATCATTTTACGATCATTTTTATACCCTTGTGGAGGGTATTATAATTTTGGTCAAAAGTGTGCAACGCAGTAAAGGAGACATCTCCGACCCTAGAAAGTATATATATTCTTGATCCGGATCACCTTCTGGGTATGTCCGTCTGTCAGTTTCCTCGCAAACTAGTCTTTCAGTTATTTTATAAAGCTTTCGACTTGAAGCTTTGCACACACCCTTCTTTCCCATGCACGCAGTATATACATATGTAAGTCGGAACAGCCGGCATCGGCCGACTATATTCTATAGCTGACATACATATAATTGATTGATCGGAAATGCTATAACTTTGCTGTTTTTAAAGTTAGGATTTGAATGCATGAATGCTATTTTTGGCGATATAATTCGACATACCAAATTTCATAGGGATCGGTTCACTATATCCTATAGCTCCCTATATCCTATAAATTTGTTATATTATGATATTCTCATTAGGGTCCACCAACTGTATCCGATTTTTCCGGTTTTAACTGCAAGGGTATATCAACTTCGGATCAGCCCGAAGTTCGCATTCCTTTCTTGTCGTTTAATGGAATGAGTATGCTGAACGGTTAGTGTTGTTTGGTTAAATGAGTCAACATGTTGTATGGATAGCGTACAGTCGGAACAAGTTGGATCATCCAAAAGCCTAAGAAAATGTAAGTTGTGTTGTGATTTGTTGAAATGTTAAGCTCCATATGAATGGCACATTTTTGCATTATTTGAATGAACAACCAAAAACTTTGAACAAGAATATGTATATGTATATGTAAAAAAAAAGAGTAAGATCATCGCTGGGCTGTGATCAGTAAGAAGAGCGCAAAAGTAATAAACTTATAAACAGAGCACGCTTCCCAAAACACTCTCACATTTAATTTTCGCTCTTCTTCGCTTTCGTTCTAAGTTAATATATTCAATACTCAAGTATTTAAACTTTTTTCAAAATAAACAAACTTTTTAATTTAAGGGAAAGTACCACAATAAAGAAGTATGTACGGCTGATCATATTTGGTATAGTTCTGCTGCTGCCGATTAAAAATTCAAAGGAAGATATCCTCGACTGCGACTACTACGACACCGTAGATCTATCGTCCAGCCCGAAATTTCCAAATGATTCGTATTTGTATGAAGGCGTGTTGATTCCCCCTCACTTGACCGGCGAATACGAGTATAAATTACTTCCCGATAACTCCAGGGAGTCAGTAGCCAAGCATTGGAGGGGTTGTGTCTGTAAACTTAGGCCATGTATAAGGTTGTGCTGTCATCCCCATCACATGCTCATAAATGGGGATTGCGACGACAGTCTGAAGGAACAACTAGAGCGCCAAGACCTCTATATAAATGTCACCCTCGAAGACGGATCAGTGTCTTCACGACACTTCCGCAAGGACCTGGTGGTGCAGTGGGATCTGCCCATGCCCTGTGAATATTTGTATCCCGTGGATAACCAGAATGAACAGGATCAGTATACCATCTTTGAGGTTGCGTTGTCAATCCTCCATTTTCGATAATGATTAAACGAATTTTTATTTTATAGGATGGCTCATTTCTACGACACTTTGACAACAAAACCTTGGATAAAAGGGAGTACTGTTTACAGCCGCTCAAGATTGAATCGGAAGAGTCCTTTCGAATTTTCCCCCACAATTGTGTGATTGAGAGTGAACCCGATATTGCAAAGACAATAAGTAATAACCATAATCCTCGTTTACCGTTTGCATATAATAATTAAATTTTATTTTCAGTGCTATCATTGTCGCTGTTAGGCATAGTCCTTACAATATCCGTATATGCCTACGTGGAGAAATTGAAAAATTTCCAGGGGAAGTGTTTCATAAGCTACATGATTTGTCTATTTTTAGGCTACTTGTGCCTCCTTGTGGATTTATGGAAACTGGCAGATAAGTTCTGTGAAACACTCGGTAAGTACTTTAAACTTCCTATGTCCTTTTTAACTTTTGATTTTTTTTTAGGGTACATTGGCTATTTTTTCGTAATGGCCGCTTTCTTCTGGCTCTCGGTCATAAGCCTTCACCTTTGGAACCTCTTCACGGGACGCAATCTTAAATCCCTTCCGGAGAACCGGTTCCTGGTCTTTAATATTTATGCCTGGGGCATGGCGGGAGTCCTAACCGGAGTCATCTTTACTGTGGATCATGTTATGGATAGCAATGATCCGCAAAACGAAAAGTGGATGCCAGGAGTAGGTTTCTATAATTGCTGGATTAACAGTAAGTTTGGTTACAAAATCGAAGTTGGTTATTTTAATGGAGGTTTTAATATTGAAACCCTTAGCTGAAGGATGGTCTGCCATGATTTATTTCTATGGACCGCTGGCGCTCCTGATTAGCTTTAACATAACCATGTTCATTCTGACGGCTATTCGCATCCTACAGATTAAAAGGAATCTTACGAATTTCACAGCTCGCAGCGAGAGGAGACAAAAGCTAACATCCGATAAGCAGACGTAGGCAGGATATCTTTTGTCCTTAAAGGATTTATTCTACACATTTCTCCCATTTTCCTTACAGTTACAGCATCTTTCTACGGCTCTTTATTATCATGGGCATGACCTGGAGCCTGGAGATTGGATCCTACTTGGCCCAAGGACACGAGTATTGGGAGAATGTGTTTTTGGTGGCTGACTACTTAAACTGGTCGCAGGGCATCATTATATTCATATTGTTTGTCCTGAAGCCCAGTACCTTCCGACTTATTTGCCAAAGGTAAGTTTTTGTACATTAGGGGTGGTGTCCATTAATAACAAGCTTCTACAATCTGCACGAATCGGCAGAATTCGGGGTGAGAAAGAGGATCAGAACGCCACTGGGTGTGAAGAGGAGATATCTCTCGAGAATAGGTTTTCCAAAAACCTCGAATAGGTAAAATCGCAAAATTTTCTTTGGGTTTTTGGTGTTTGTGAATTAAAACTTAACTGGCTTTATGTCATGGAATGTACTTATGATCCTGCATGTCGGATCGATAATATTTCTATTCGTTATTAATATTGGTGTTGGCTTGCTTTTTTCTTACTTTTTCCTGTAATGCATGTTTTACCTAATTTTTTATTAAATTTTAATAATAGTTTTCTTTTCTTAGGCCCCGATCAAAATATATTTTGAGTCCTACCAGTGTCAAACCTAAAAGTTTACGAGTCTCTACACATCACAACAACAATCGTAAACCACGAGCGGATTCTTCACTTCAAAATTCAACCCTAATGTAGCAGTATCATAGCTTCCGAGAATTCTAGCAATATAAATTCTACGATCATAGCTTGCTAATAAAAGTTAATATTTTTTAATTGCCAAAAATTATTAATTTATAGACGCTTTAAGCAAATTGTCAGAAAAGAACTTGAATGATCAGGGTATTACCGACCGTTTGACTGAGTGTTTTAAAAAAAATGTATTGTTAATTTTCTATTTCAACTAAATGATCTAATATTCTATAAATTATCTATTTCTTTACAATTTCAACTAATATACTTACGTTTTACTACTGTAATACCTCAATACCACAATTTGTGACTTCTTTACTAATTTAACCAATATACTAACATAAGAATGACTTAAATATATTTATACCCTTGCAGAGGGTATTATAATTTTGTCCAAAAGTGTGCAACGCAGTGAAGGAGACATCTCCGACCCTATAAAGTATATATATTCTTGATCAGGATCACCTCCTGAGTTGATATGAGCATGTCCGTCTGTCCGTCTGTCCGTCTGTCCGTCTGTCTGTCTGTCCGTCTGTCTGTTTCTACGCGAACTAGTCTCTCAGTTTTAAAGCTATCGTCTTGAAACTTTGCACACACCCTTCTTTCCTTTGCACGCAGTATATAAGTCGGAACGGCCCGGATCGGCCGACTATATCCTATAGCTGCCATATAACTGATTGATCGGAAATGGTATAACTTTGGTGTTTTTATTTATTTATTTATTTATTTATTTATTTCGCCAATGGACAAATCCTTACATGGCTACATAACATAACAACTTACACCTAATAAATAAAACTACAAAATTAACAAAAACTTAATAAATGCCTTAATAACTTGTGTTTTAACACACCCTTATCTGAGCCCCACTCAGTTCGGAGGCTAGGCGGCAAAGAATTAAAATAAGAAAGAGCCCGCTCTATCGGCTCATTTAAGAAATAATTGGCCCTATGACATTTGACCCGAAAGGGGGCAAAGGTACGAAGGTCCCTTTGAGGAACATTAAAATTAACGAGTCCCAACAAAAAAGGACAATCAATGTTATTAACGATTAAATTATTTAAAAAGGTTAACGCTGCCAGTTTACGCCGATCCTCCAACGTGCAAACGTTCAGAAGAAGGCAACGGCTCTGGTAAGAAGGAACAGGATCCTGAAACCTTAGAGGCAGAAGTGCAAATTTTAAAAATTTTTTCTGGAGTCGCTCAATTCTATTGGAACGAACTTTACACTCCGGGTTCCAAATGATTGAGGCATATTCCAGCCTCGACCGAATGAATGCAGCATAGACGCTGAGGCTCGAGTATGGACTTTTAAACTGGTTCACGTGCCTCTTAACAAAGCCCAGCATAGCATACGCTTTAGGTAAAATGTAGTCTAAGTGACCCGAAAATTTAAATTTGCTGTCGAATAAGACACCAAGGTCTAACACCTCTTCTTTAGCTGCCAAATTATAATTGTTGATGGAATAACCCGTACAGATTTCAAGAGACCGCCTACTGTAACGGGTAAACAAACACTTAGATAAGTTTAATGGAAGAAGATTGCGGGAGCACCATGAGTAAACTCTGGATATATCCTCCTGTAACAAGTAACTGTCACTAATGCAGCTAATCTCTTTATAGATTTTAAGGTCATCCGCATACATTAAAAAGTGCGAATGACGAAAGCATGACGAGATGTCATTAATGAAAATTATAAATAGAAGAGGTCCAAGAGAGCTGCCTTGTGGAAGACCAGAGGAGGTGACAAATGGACTTGAGATAGCGTCTCCAACAGTAACGTGGCAAGGTCGGTCAGCCAGATAAGACTCGAACCAACTTAATAGGCAGGAATGAATACCTAATTTATATAATTTGGCCAGAAGGGCAGCATGACACACTTTGTCGAAGGCTTTGGAGAAGTCGGTGTAAATGGCATCAACCTGAAATCGGTTTTCAAAAGCTTCAAAGCAGTGCTTAGAAAAGACAGCTAAATTAGTGGTAGTGGACCTCCCAGGCAGAAAACCATGCTGGTTGGGGGATATGAAATTGCGAGCCAGAAAAGTCAATTTTTTAGTTACTATCCGCTCCAGTATCTTAGCGACGTTGCAAATTTTGGCTATAGGTCGATAGTTAGTAACATCACACCTACTGCCACCTTTGTGAATAGGCGATATAGAAGTAATCTTCCACCGGTGGGGGAATCTACCAGAAGAGAGCGAAAAGGAGAACAGCAGTTGAAGGGGAGTAGAAAGAGAAGCGATACTCCTCTTAAGAAAGAATGGGGAGATACCGTCCACGTCAGGTGTGAGCGACTCGGTCAGATGTCCAGTGGCTTCAACTAGGTCACCGTCCAAAACGTCCATGTTACTCACATTAAGAAAAGGCTCAATGCTAAGAAGAGTTTCATGATCACTCCAAGGAACCTTCGGCTCCAAGTTAGAGGCAAAGTATTTTGCAAAAAGATCAGAAACGCCCTGATCCGAGTCGGCTGCTAAATTACCATAACATATGGATGAAGGTATGTCCGATTTTGACTTTTTGCTGTTAACAAACCGCCAAAAAGCTTTAGGATTGGATCGAAGGCTAGCTTCGACATCGGATATATACTGATTGTAGAGGAACTTATTAAGGAAATCAAATTCCCGCTTAAATTGCCGGTACAGCTCTCCTGCTCGAGTCTCACCTGTCAATATAAATCGTTTGTAGTGCTTATCCCTTCTATTCTTTAAGTTTTTTAAACCTTTTGTGTACCAGGGAAGCCTATAGGATCTTCGTACCCTCACAGGGGCATAAGTATCAATAATATTAAAAAGGGCAACCAAGAACTTAGTATAACAATCATCGATTGAGCCATCCGAAAAAAGGGAAACCCAATCAAAGGCTGAAATAGAGGCGTTAATAAGTGACAAGTTAGTATCATTCAGATGATAATATGGAATGGGGGAAGCAGAAGGCAAAAAACTATAAAACTCAATATTAATTACCAACGGCTTGTGGTGCATATCACAAGGACTTAATGGTACATTGCATAATTCTACTGTACTATTAATCAAATTATTTAAAAATATAAGATCAAGAATTTTGGATAAATCATTAAAAATATTATTTACTTGGGAGAGGCCCAGACTAAAAATATCATCTAAAACTACAATTTCATGACTCTGGTGAACGTTGCTAGGTAGCATGCAGGGAGATTCCGGGTCCCAAGACCAGACAATGGAGCTCAGGTTGAAATCGCCAGCTACCATCAAAGCGGTAGGGTCCGACGTTCTAGCACAGACACTAGTGATGTTTTCCATATGCGCATGATATATACTGAATGCGCTGTTCGGAGGGATGTATGATGCAATGATGACGAACGGGCCATGGACGCCCTGGATTGAGACCGCAAGCTGATCCAGTAAAGGGTCGGCCACCGGAAGGCGCAGTGGTGTAGCCTGAAGAGATCGACGGATAGCGATGATCACACCTCCACCTCGCTCACACTGGGTACTGAATGCATCTCGGTCCTTTCGAAATACATGGTACAAATTAGGCTCGAAGAACTCAGAGGAGCTGAATTTGTCATTGAGCCAGGTTTCCACAAGGATGATTACATCAAAATCGCAGGCAGAAGAATTGAGGAATACCATCCGGGTCTTGGTTCTCATTCCCGATATATTTTGGAATAGAACTTTTAGGCTTTTATTAGGGTCCAAGGACGACGAGTAGCTACAGTCCAAACTGGGAATTGGACGGCAAGGCGGTGATGGTGAAAGTGCACTCCTGGTACTGGTGCATGTGGAGGCATATCCAATACGCATAGCTTGCAAAATAGCCGACAAGGACACATAGAAATTTCCATTAGACTCATCAGTAGACCAGCGAGAGTCCAGTAGCAAGGCAGATTCCGTGCCAGGTGAAAACATTGAGCGTTCATATTCAGGCACATCCAAACGCAGCAAAGATCCACCCACGGGTCCAAAACGTAAATAAACATCTTCCATCGGCGAAAAGAAAGCACCAGCGAGTGGCCCAACGAAAAGAGATAAGATAAGCGATGCGCTGCCAACGTCTCGATTACCATCGTCTTGTTGTTGCTGGGCATCCACAAGAAGTGAAGATAAGAAATAAACAACTCGCCTTGAAAAAAGTTGTTGTTGAAGAATATAGATCAGCAAACGAAGCCAATTATTGGAGGAATTGAAGACAGCGTCAACCGTTACCATGAACGCCCACGCCGATTGTTGTTGGTGGCGCAGCAGAGAGCAATCGGGGTGACGAACTGCAGCTTGAGAAGAAAACGATGTAACGGCGCCAGCGGCGCCGCTTACTGGGGGTTTTTTGAAGATTGCGAATGCGGTAAAGGTAGAATCGCCGGGAGGTCAATAACCTTAGCCGGCTCTCTATGAACAAACCGGCTGACTTTTACCGACATAGGCCAAAAATCGTCATTGAAGACTGTTGGGAAATTTTGCTCCGGAACTCCCAATTTAAAATTGACGAACTTGAGGGCGTTGATGTCAGCATCCTTTTTGATCAGCCTAGCACAGACTAAATCATTGGGCTCCACGTTCAGCTTATCTGCGACAAATTTGCACAATGCATCCGGTTGGGTAGACGTCGCGAATTTACCCACATGAAGGTATTTCAAGGTGGGAAGCACTTGAAGTTGAGCGCAACTGGGAGCTTGTCCCAGAATGCGCCTATTAGGGTTGATCCGCTTCTTCTTCTTCGGGACAGCCCCCTTAGATGCCGTTGGGGCCTGCCCCAGAGCAGCCTTTATGCTCCCTGTGCTGGTGGGCATAGCAGGGGGAGCAACAACTTGCACCCCAGCCGAGGAGGCGCGTCCAGCGGGCACAGCCGCTCCATTTACCAGGGCTAGGTCAACTTTGGCATTAAGGCTTTCGAAGCGGGACTCCAGATCTTGAACTTTATGATTTAGCTCATCAATTTTGGAATGCGAATCATTTCCAATGACGCAGCTATCACATTGCCACATTAAGTTCGGAATGTTAATAAGTAGTTTTATAGCCTCCGAGGGCAAATCAACACAAGCGGTGTGATAGGCACGCCGGCAGATCGACGCGCACCTAACGGCCTCACACCCACGAAGTTGGGTAGCAGTAACTTCTGCACTGCACTCGGTGCAAACGAGAGGCGACATGAGCGAAAAAGTAGACGTCCGAACTCAAAGAAAGCTAGATGAAGACTTTAGAGTTAGAGAGTTCAAATTTGACATGAGAGCTATTTTTGGCAAAACATAACGTCATGCCAAATTTCATAAGGATCGGCCGACTATATCCTATAGCTGCCATATAACTGAACGATCGGAAATGACCCAACTTTCGTGTTTTTGAAGATAGAAAGCTGGAATTTAATACAGATTCTATTTTTGGTCAGTTGATCCAACCCATCAAATTTCATTAGGATCGGCCGACTATATCCCATAGCTGCCATATAACTGAACGATCGGAAATGGTATTTGGTAGAAATATCAACTTTCGTATTTTTGAAGATAGAAGTTTGGGACTTTTTTTAGATTTTGTATCGTAATAAATTGGATTATATATTCCTATTTCCATAAGGATCGGCCAACTATATCCGATGTTTGCGATATATATCCGGTTTTAACTGCAAGGGTATATAAACTTCGGCTCCGCCCGAAGTTAGCTTTCCTTTCTTGTTTTTATTTAAAATGAAAAGTCTTAACATTTTTTTAATTTTTGGGGGCCGTTTGGAATTTGATTTAAAAAATTTTTTTTTAATCAAAATAAACAGAGCCGGTCTAAGAGAGCCCGAGAGGGTAAGCTTAAGAGACATGACTGTGAGCAAGGAGAGAGGAAAAATCAAGAGAGTGGTGACCCTCCAATGTGGCCAGCTAATAATACGAATAATACCAGCCCGCGGAAGAAGTCGAAATTTTGACCGGAAAGCTGGATACTTCAATTCAGATACAAAATTATCCGAGCAGCTAACCCGCGCGGCAGCACACCTCTGCTAGTAATTAACAAAACAAATTTGCATAGTGCCTAAACAGAGTGCCAATCGACCAAGTGATACGACCAAGTGTGTGCTAATTAAAAAAAATCCTGCTGATTAAGCCCCATTAATAGGGGCGAGCAGAGAGTTTACTTAACTCAAGGTCTCGGCATCCCGAAACATCACCGGACTTATCTTTCCTTGTGCCTATAATGCGATTTAGTTGTTTCGCGCTCCCCACCTACAATCGGACGCGTTGTGTGAAGACAATTGTGGTTTCGCACTGATTTTCATAGTGATTTCTATGTGTCGGCTCAATGTCAAAGCCAGTGTGTGTTTGGCTTTTTTTGAAGTTCATCAAAAATCGGTGAAAAAACCTGGCTTGTTTCGGCACGTTTGTGCCATAAAGCTGGATTAATGGGCATTTAACCATAAAAAATATAATTTGATAACTCTCATAACAAACGCTGTTCAGGAGCTTGCACCTTCGACCGAAACATTGATTACTTAGTCTTATTGGCCTTAACTAAACTACTTTTTGGGTCTCTTCTATGCATTGAACACGTCCCGTAGTTTTTTAATTCGACTCTACGTGCCAATAGGTATTTTTTTTAAGTTTCCTGGGTCTAGTTTACTCTCCAGAAAAGGTTAAAGGCTAGGGAAACACCATCAAATCTTCGGGTCAAACTTTTAATCAAGTCATGTTTATACGTTTATAGTTTAAAGATAAGAAACAAAATAATTTTCTTAACTGGCTTTTATCTCGGAGAGGTGCGCTCTAGTCCACAACAGTTCCTACGGTGGGCTAATTAAGTCACAACTCGCTGGCCACTTTGAGTCATCGCAACAAGTGTCTGCGTTTGCCCCGGGGCCTCCTCTTTACTCGAAACGTCCATTCACGTCCCATAATTGTTTATTTTTTGTGCTTACAGTCTCCCTTTTGGCACTCGATCAAGTTTCGCATTGTGGGTCTGTTTGGTTTGATTTGGATAGTCATTGAAAACAACGAAGCCACAACTGTTTTATTATCAGCACTGGGTGGGTGGGTGTATTTAAGACCCCAAGCCGGGGAATGATAAGACGGACCACACTTAACAGTCCCTTAACAGTCTGCTAACATTCCGGTAACAGGCGCTATCATTCGTGGAGTAGCTCCCGGAAAGCGGCGTATTTGGCCAGTCACTTAGTTTCACGTCGTCGGACGTGGTGGGAATCCAAGTAAGCTCGGATTCTTTATAAAGCCAATATAATATTGGAAATGTGAATAAAAAGTGCCAGTTTTAATTAATTTGCTATCTAGCGTGTGATTTTGCCGGTGCCTTAGCCCCAACCGCATACCGTCGTATATTGTTGTAGATACTCTCATCCACTCCCAAACCCAAACCGGTCCGCGTGTGTTCGCATATTTACACCCACTTCCAGGGGAATTCCCGCAACTCTCCATTTTTTTCTCAGTGGACTAGCCAGTGGAGGGGCATTGCGAAAGGAGGGGCATTTAGTTATAAACACAGTGTATGTGACGATTTCTGGTGCGGTAACCCACTGCCATTCGCATCTTCTTTCAAAACCAGTTTATTTTTTTTTTCCAAGTAAACTCACCTTAAACATTAAAAAACTCGGAATAAAATTTAAAAACACAAACCATGTTTCGTTGAGGCTTTTGAAAAACGACAGAGCCTAGCCGTAATCTCAACACATTCACACGGAAGACTGCGAAAATCAAGTATTTGTTCTTTAGAAGTACCAGATAAATACCTCTGTGGATCGGCAAATAACAACTGAAAGGTGCAATTATTCATTGTTTGGTTGGCAGACCTATAGGTGAGTCTGAAACATTGTCAAGTTACTAATATTTCTAGTTTTACAGTCTTTTTTTTAACTATGGGGGAGTTTCAAGCTAAAATTAAAAGTTATAATTAAATTAACAAAGTATATTATTGTGATTAAAACATGTATTATACGACTGGGGGGACTCTACAAAGCTACATACATTAATGTGAAAAAACCAGAATGGAAAACTCATTCCATGTAAAACTAGTATGTCCAAGCACCTGTTCTCGTTTCCTCTTAGGGGACTGAGTCACGAAACAGTGGACATTAATGAAGGAAATAGCTGACCACCCCCACCCAAGGATGCATCTGGGCTATCCACCAATATCCAGTGCTAGCAGAATACGATTTAAATAAATGTTTATACTTTCGCACTTTCGGATGGAAATGGCTGTTGAAACATCTTGAAAATATTGTTTATTGTTTATATTCGAGGTCTGTTTATTTCACTCTAATTTTTCTTCGCCCAGAGAATACGATAAGAACTCATAATAGCTATTTTCCCTCCCTGGAAATAATATAAATTGTATTAGTATAAATAATATTTGGTCCCAAGCTCCAAAGGCAACAAATACGATTAAATTTACATTAAATTGTTTTAATCACGCACATGGGAGTTCCGAGGAGGTTTAGTTCGGTTTCAATGTCTTGTTTTTCCGGTGTAGGGTGTCCCAACTATGAAATTACATGATAAGCTAAATGCACTCGCAAATTAATTAGCCAATTGCCATTTGATGCACTGGACCCACATAATACATTCTCAGCTGTCAGCTGGAAACAAGAAACCCCTTTGAAATGGTTGGAATTTTTATAGATAAGTGTTTCCATAGAAGTGCTAAATATCTAGTATATGGGGATACTACTTCACACAATCAGCCAGAAAGATCACCAGTTGACGGCCATTTATCTTTTCAGTTGTGGGGGGCTCCGCATGGGATCTGATCCGCTGGATAGCTTCCCGGTGGGGGCAAGTGTCAGGGATACATTATTTGGCCAACTCGCCACCCGACGCCCACTCTAATGGCAACAAATTGATAGAACGAATATGTGGAAAAGGCCCTCGCCTTTGTTTACAACTCGCAGACAGTGGCATCAGAATCGGCGGGTCTAAAAATACTTAAATTGGAATTTTCTCACGAAATCTTCGGTACCATTCAAAGAACCGAACTCGTCAACGGTTCAGCTATTAAAAATTTGTAGTGGAAAGTGTTTGTTTGGGAGGAAAACAGAAAACACCCAGCTAGAGGAGGAGGAACCCGAAAGGGGGCCATACGGGGCGGCGACGCCCCTGTAATCGAGCGCTTATCTGACCAAAACCCACCGCACCACTGCGGTGAGTTCTCCAGGCTGGAAGTATCCTCTGTCATTGTGCGATTAGTTCCACTTCTTCGTTAGGGGCAGCTACCCAGAAACCCGCGTGATAATGAATGTCTCCGAATTCAAGACTTGAGTAAGAAGCCCCTCGACTTCGGGCATACATACGTGATAAGCGCCAAAAAGTTTTAACCGAAAGAAAAAAAAAAAAGCCAAACAAACAAAAAGCCTTTATATGAACAAAGAAGAAATACCACTGATATCATATTTTTGTGGGTAAGCTGAGTTCGATCGAGCTCATATTCGCTTCCGTGCAAAATATATAATGCCCATGTCCGCATAGGACAGACCGTCTTAGCCTCGTTATGCTCACGCTTCCAGAATATTAATTCAAATATTCATATATTCCGATGTCGGTGATCGTTTTCTGATTATTGCGCATACGCCGCGTGAACCCAACTCGACATTTTCATTGTGTTTTCCAAATTTTAAAAGGGAAGTGACTAAACCAGTGTCTGACTCTTGAAGTACTTATGACTCACTCCATCTTCGTGAGCTATCCTGACGATGGAGAACCACCAAATTATCAGAATAAATCATATAATCGTCCAGACCAAGACCAGTAACCTAAAAAGTCGAATCGCAAAACATCTGTAAGTAGTCGCAAAAGTAGTAGTAGAAGTATCGAAAGGGGCTTCACTTATAAATAAGTAAGAAAGTCGTTTGCCTTTGTCAGACATTACCTAGGCGGCGTTGGCCCATTCGTCTTTATCTTTTCGATAAGCAACTCGAAAGAAAAGCAACAAATTTTATAGAGAGCGTCAGTCAATATATGTATATACATATGTACATATCAGCCATCTTCGCAAGTATTGGCATTTCAATCCACCAAGTACTTTTGAACAAGCAAGTTCTAACTATGGCATTTTAATATTTTTACATAGATATCCATTACTATTGAAAGACAACTGACACATCAATCATATAGTATAAGCTCCGTTTAAAATAATATATTAATTAGTTCATTGATCACTATCTCATCGAACACCCCATACTCTTAAGTAAATACTTTATTGTTTGGCCAATCGAGCCTCGAATACCCAAAACACAGTCGAAAATAAAAATGGAAATTCGAATTGAAAATTGTTTTCAAATGCTTATAGAGAGGGGTGTTTGGAGAATTGATAACATACCGTAAATCAATTTTATGGCCAATTGTTTTCCCTATTTTAATGTTCCACATGTTTTGATTATTTTTCAAACATTCGAACTTGAAATCGCTGGAGGTTGTGTGAGTGTGTGTAAAGGCCAAAGGTGATTCGTTGAAATTTTCCAAGTGTAGTGCTTGCCGATTAATTGGTCCAATTTTCTGTTAAATGATAAGTGCCCCACTTTTACTCCCACTCCCACTGATTTCACTCCGGCCCCATTGTCAATCAATATGGAGTTTAAGTGTTTACTCTAGTCCTCCGGCCCCGCTTCTGTTCCCGTGAATTTATGCTAATTTCGTAACCCACGCGCTTGCCGCAGGTTAGCCCTTTCCCCCATGTCCACCTCCCGGCCCAATGGCAAACAATCAGCGGATCAATGAATTAGGACCACAGCCTAATGACGCCGATAAGATAGCCCATCCGAAGGTATACCATTTCGCGTTTGTAATGAATTTATGGAGGCTCGTTAGCACCGCTTAAAAAGGCAGAGGAGGTGGTGGTGGTGGCCAACCAAACAGACCAACCAAGTCAGGAGCAGATTGTCAGGACGTGGGAAGCTCGGCGTCGTCGTTATTGACACACTGCGGCAGTAACTACCAATTTAACACGAATTCATATTTGTTGTCAAGTCCATTTAGACGCACTCCCCGCGGACAGGACTTATGATTGATGTCCTGTGGTGGCTCACATTGGGCGCGTTCCTCCTCTAATTGCTTCCGTCTGTCCGACAACCTGTTGCATGATTCACATGGCTTGGCCAAGGTCTGTTTTCCCCAATGTCCCCAAATTAAATACCCATACCATGCAGAGCCGTAGTTTACGACTAACTAAATACCCAATGGTACACTTTAGGACAGGTTTTTCTTTCCTTAATTAAATTCTTATTACAAAATATATCTCAAGGGAATACTCGGGTATTAATGACAAAAGATAAGAACAATAATATGCAAAAAAGACCCCAGAAACACACCTTCCTGTACACACTTAACATTTTCATTTCCGTTCTCCTGCAGAAGCTTCAGCATGCCGAAAAAAATCCAGCAGAACGGTGGATCCTTCTATTGCGGAGTCACCATGCTGGGAGTTCTGTGCCTATTCTTCTTTCGCCTCATCCCGGGCCTCGGTTTCGGGACATACGTGATGGCCGAGCCGCCGCCAAAGGAAGGCACTCATGTCCCCTGCAAGTTCCACGACACCGTCAACCTAACGGGCTACACACGCTTCCCGAACGGCAGCTACGAGTACGAGGGCCTCATCATCCCGGAGCACCTCGTGGGCAACTACGACTATGTGTTCAGGTCTCTGGCGGACCGGGTGGAGGTCCCGAACCACGTTAGGGGGTGCGTCTGCAAGCTGAAACCCTGCCTGAATATCTGCTGTCCTTGGGGTCAGATATACAACTCGTTGAAAGGCGAGTGCTTGAACGACACCATGGACCACCGGGAATGGCCCAAGCCGGTGCTCAACGTGACCTTCGCCCACAACATCACTATGGAGGTGAACATCTCCCAGCAGTTTGCCGTCCAGAGCTTCCGGCCGTGCGCCAAGATGTTCTCCCTGCAGCCGGAAATAAACGACTTCGATGGGTACTTGATCTTCCAGAACGGATCCATGTTTCGCGTGGACGATGGTGTCTTCATCGAGAAGAACCAGTACTGCCTGGTGCCCACGTTCGTAAACGAAACGGATCTGATGTACAGTCTCAATCCAGCCAACTGTGACATGGCGGACGAGCCCAGCACGGTCAAGATCATTAACTCCTATGGTGAGTGGACCATTAGGTTATTAGTTCCTATAGTTACTGATATATCTTTATCCTCCCCTAAGCTATGCTGTTTTCCATACCCTTCATGATGCTGACCATCGCCGTATACCTGCTGATCCCGGAGCTGCGAAATCAGCATGGCAAGAGCCTCGTCTGCTACCTGGTCGGACTCTCGGTGGGCTACACGTCCCTGTGCGTGGTCCAGCTGAAGAAGAGCATCAACCCTGATGGCCTCACTTGCAAGTCCTTTGGTTACACGGCCTACTTCTTCTTCATGTCCGCCTACCTCTGGCTGAACGTGATCAGCTTCGATCTGTGGCACAATTTCCGCGGGACTCGTGGCATCAATCGCTTCCAGGAGAAGAAGCGCTTCCTTTTCTATTCCCTGTACTCCTGGGGCCTGGCACTGGTGTTCCTCATCTTCACCTGGGTTGCCCAGGAGCACACTAACTGGCCGTCGAACTTGAAGCCGGGAATTGGAGACGGAGTCTACTGCTGGCTGGACATGACCAACTGGTCGGCGATGATCTACTTCTACGGTCCCATCATGGTGATCGTGGTGGCCAACACGGTTATGTTCATTATGACGGCCATCAAGATCCATGGCGTGCAGCGGGAAATGGCGAAGATCATAGCTGGGGAGAACAGCACCAAGAACCTGCGCACCGAGAAGGACAAGTAAGTGGAGTGAAGCCAGTGCTTTCCATTCAACTCCCCTAAGACGGGCCCGTCGTTTCCACATTTTCAGGTTCGGACTCTTCCTTCGCCTCTTCCTGATCATGGGCGTCACCTGGGCATCGGAGCTCGTCTCCTTCTTCGTTGGCAACGACAAGAACTTGTCCAGGCTCTTCTACATCTCGGATCTGTGCAATGCCATGCAGGGCTTCCTGATATTCATGCTGTTCGTCATGAAGAAGAAGGTCAAGCACTTGATCACAAACAGGTGAGTGTGGCCCTCGGGCCTTTCTTTGAATTCTTCGTACCGTTCTCCGGAAATGTCCTCTTTAAAGTAGCCATGTCCGTGTATATCGTTTTGTCCCAACTGCCCCTTACATCTTTGTGTAAATCTGTTCCTCGAATATTAAACATTCCCCAGAACCATAAGGGTGCGAAGTCTGCGGCAAACCGAGAGCGTGACTTTGGGGGCGAGCTCGTTCTCGATGCGACAGCGTTTCATGGACGCCTCCAACCAGATCCGAAAGTTAGTTGTCATTCGGAACGCCTTCTCCAATGCCTCCACCAGCGGCATCCACTCTCACGATGTCTGATTTGGGACGAAGCCACTCTTACCCCATCGAGTAAGCAGCTCCTCTGATGATTGGTGTTGCTTTCCACTAACCAGAGATGCAGATGCTCGCAGATCCTTCGAATTCGGGGGGTTATTTATGCTATTGCAGGGGGAAGACAATGGGGATCATCGATCATCGAAATAGCCCGACTAATCGCAACCGATGACTATATTTTCTGTTGTACTGTTCTCGTTGTCAGACCGCTTTCGATGTTGCTTAGCCTAAAACTCGCCAGCAACAGAAACAGCCAGCCATCTAGCATTAAGCCCGACACTGACAAGAAACATACTCCCGAATCTTCAGCCGAGCCAGCCTAGTGCTGCCTTCCGCCTTCATCTCTAAGCCACAAGAACAAAAACCACTAAACACTGAAACCAAATACTAAGCGCCCTCTTCTAAACACCCACTTATGTTTGCGTCTATAATATGTGTCCATTTGTAAACGTGTCCAACCCCCATCAACCATCTTCTGTCCTGTGAAGATTTCTGGAGAAAAAGGGATCGAGCGCCACGAGTTCGGTCACCACCTCGACATCCATTGCCTCGGACACGAACGTGCTGCCCAAAAGGATACATCTGAAGGCGGTGGCCAATGCCACCGTCCCACCAACAAGCCCCAAGGCCACTATCTGATTAAAGAGTTACAGGTCGCAGGTAAACACCGAGTGCAGCAGCAATACTAACTGGTACTTCTCCACTAACCTTCTCATCCTCGAAAAATCACTCGTTTCTATAAGTCATTGCATGGTAATGGGGTCTATCGCTGTCTATGTGTGCTTTCTTTAACCCTTTCCAAGGCACCTAACCAACACCTTCTAATTAGATTTTTCGACATTGTCTATTCCTCACTGCCGACTCAATGGACATCGTGATACCAGGTGCTCGAGTGGAAGCGAGGGAAGCCAGCGGCAGAGCCAGTACTCCACCAAGACGACGTCGAGCAGCGTGGCCAACCTGTCGTTGCACGAGAAGCCGTCGGTGGAGAAGCCGTTGATGATGAGTGGCGGTGGTGGGGATCCTCAGCGCACCACCAGCTTCCGCTGAGCATCAGCATCAGAACTTGTTCCCGCCTCGGGCCGAGTATCGAATAACCCCATTTTGTCAGGACTAAGGAGGGAGATCTCTTGGGCCAATTGATTAGCTTAGATAACATAATGCCTGTCATCCCAACTCTAGAAGCACCAACACACGATCCACCCTCACCCTCGGGATGTACTATTGGAAAAGACACTACTTAAGAAGGAAGCCACCATCCCCTACCCAACTACCCAACCACCCAACCATCCTCTTCCACATAATTTCTTTGTTATGTTCTGTTACCCGTGAACAACCTGATTAGTTATATAAGCACGCTTTCCAGCGCCATACCTAGTATTTATGAAGCTAGAATTATTTGAGAAATGCATAGTTGCTGAACTACATGCCTGTATACAAGATCTATGTGCCTTCAAATCGAGAATTGTAATATCTTTCAACTCATTCATATCACATACAATTACGATATCTACATGGTTATAATATAATAAAAGAAACTAAAGTTATACTTCTATGTCAAGCTTAATAAAGCCAAAGATGAAATCGAATCGTATGTTACATCTTATTCTTATTGTATAGGGTGGACCTGGACCTTTTTCTCTCCAAAATAATATACTTTAGCTGGGAAACGCACTACCTGTGTTTGATCGAAAGCAGCTTAGACCAGACACACACCTATCCACCGAATAAAAGCTTTTCAATCCATTGGATTCATAAAATGCGATCGCATGAGATACCTAGAAAGACTAGCTGATATCACGTCTTGGAAAACAAAGGCTTGGTTTTCGAGAAATTTAGTGCTATGAAAATAAAGTTTTATTGGTAATATTTGTAATAAAGCCATCACTGGATTCGATAAGGTGGTGGCGGCCATCACATCACAAAAGTTGATGTCGAGATTGGCTGGCAGAGCGAAGAATTTGACTGCCGAACGGCTCTACCGGCTGGTTGTGGACAGGTCTGGTTTTGGGGCTGGTTGACTAATCAGCCAGTCTGTTTTTTATTCTTGGCCAGCATGGAGCTGCCCTGCTGTGGCGGTTGTGTCGTCTGCTAGCCGCGCGAGAGAGCGGAGAATGGGCCGGAGAGTCTACTCGGCGGTGGTTCTTTTTGGCGTTGTCGTTGCCGCAATCGCAGCCGTTTTTAGACCGCACCGTCGTCAGCGTCGTTGTCACTTCACAGATCTTTTCGGATTGTTGTAGACTGTTCTTTACTTTGTATTAATTCAACGGCAATCGCCCGCGTATTTGTTTGTTTAATTATCGAGTTGTGACGTCAGTGGCAGATTGCTTCATGCCAGCGCTGTGGTTTATACCTCTGGCTCTGGGGCTGTCCGTGGGCGTGGCGGCCCTGGAGATAGCCACCATCGATCACCCATGTGCCTACGCGGACACGGTGAACATCACGGATGGACTCCGTTTAAAGGACGGTTCGTACTCCTATGCTGGACTGGTAATTCCTCCCAACAGGATAGCAGAGTACAGTTTCAAGGTAAGCACAGGAAGAGTGAGGTAGTCAGGTCCAAGTAATCTAGAAGAGATCGCCTCCAGGTGATCGACGGAGTGCAGTACCGCGCCAAGAAGCACCTGCGCGGCTGCGCGTGCCTGCAGAAGTCGTGCATCAGCTTCTGCTGTCCCCCGGATCTGGTCTTTGACTCAAAGAACTGGAACTGCACGCAGCCCCACCAGATCCGGGAGTCCACCCATGTCGGGCTGACCTACGGCAATGGGTCGGTGGAGAATGTCCGCATCAAGGACCGATTCCTGGTGCGCACGGAACTGGGCTGCCGGAACAAGTTTGTGGATCGGAAGCACGAAAACTTCTGGAAGTGGGATCTATTCGAGAACGGCACGCTCTTCAGGGACGACCGGCTCTGGAGCACGGACGAGTACTGCTTCAGTCCCCTGGAGCACAAGCCCGAGCAGTGGGAGCTGACTCCGATCAGCTGCGAGCGATTCCAAACGGGCTATCGGGTCTGGATCTACGCCATATGTGAGTGAAGTCATCCAAAGATAGTGGTATGGACTTATGGAATAAATATTTTCTTTTCAGGCTGTATTATCGCCATTATCATCCACATCTTTATCGTCTCCCTGCTGGCATCCGTGAGAGATGCCAGAAAGAGCCACTATGGACACTTGGTCATCTTGTACCTTCTTTGTACGATCGTTGGCTACTCCCTTCTGGTGTACTTGGCCCTGAAGAATCCTGTCAAGTTGTCCAAAGGGTCCTGCAGGAATATAGGTAACTATTGAAAGCTTCTTGAAAGCTGTAGCTAACTATTATGGTTTTTTTTAAAAGGCTTTCTGGCATACACCTGCATCATGTTGTCCTTTGGATTCCTGGCGATTTGCAGCTTCGATTTTCTTCTTAAGTTCCGCCAGAAGGCTATGAGGAACTGGGTCCGCCAACTGTGGTATACCTTGACTGTTTTGGCCATCATTGGCCTGCGGTTTGCTGTGTCCTTTGCCCAGGATTCCAAGCTGCCAAAGCACTTCAAGCCTGGCATCGGAGAGGACTACTGCTGGTTTGATGGTGGGTTTTATTAGCATATGAATAAGAATCTCTTAAGATATTATATATTGCCTTTTGCAGTTCGTCTTTGGGGCATTTTAATATACTTCTATACGCCCATCATAATCCTGTTGGTGTTCAGCTCTGTGTGCTGCCTAAAGGCATACTTTTCCATATACGAACTGCCACCGGACACCCAGTACATTCTCGGAAATCAGTTGCGGATCGTGAAGACCCAGTAGGTTCATCCTTGATTTATCCAAGAAAGTTAAACTTAATCCTTTACTCTACTCTCCAGCTTCTACGCATTCAGTGCCTATATAGTGGGTGTATTCGCCGTCTGGATTCGCGAAATAGTGGTCTACACAATGGCCAGGCTGCGGGAGCACTTCTTCATCATTGACTTCTGGAGCGGCATCTGCATCCTGGGACTGGCCATAGCTGGGTTCATCCTGTTGCTGGGAAAGAATCTTCACGTAAAGTCCTGGTGGGCCATTAATGTGTAGGTTACTAAGTTTTAAATCCTAGGGGCTTTAGTGGCTTAATGGTTCTATTTTTTGTCCAATAGCGAGTCCAGCCAGACAGACCTAAGTGTCATCAATGCTCGAGTCTACAAATTCGATGAGAAAGGAGACCTGAAATCTCCAGGTTGGTGGGAAATCTAAAAACCTACATGTTCTCTTTCTAAAATCCAATTTTCTTACAGATTCTCCCTACAAGGCTACAGTCACATCACTATAGTTGGTCGGGATATGATTGCTTATCCACAAACTCCGATGTTTATAGGATAGTTTTCTTTTAGATCCACACATGCCGAATAAATAGATGTGTGTTTATGTTAATATATTCATTAAATACATTAAAAATCTTCATATTTGAGATCTTTTCTTTTTGTACAAACTTTTCTATCGCCCTACTCCTTACTACGCCAGGTGCTCAAGATCCACCTGCGCCCCAAAAGTTACGCTCTGCCCGACTACGTCATCGAAAATGTACTTCTCGGTTTCCACGGAATCCATTCGAATCGATTCCATTCCATTTTCTTTTCGATTCAGTTCGATTTTGGTTTGGCAATCGTGTGGAGGTAAACACGCATAAATCCGGTGCTGTGGTGTAAACAAAAACAGAGAGTCTGTAAGTGAGATCGCGGCCGGAGACGACCGAGTGCCTGTTCCAATGGCGCAGTTCCTTCTTCTGGTTCTTTTGGGCATCCTCTCGAGGCACAGTAGTCTGGGCTTCCACGAGGAAACTCGCTATCCTTGCGCCTTCATTGACACTGCTAACATCACCGGCACTCCGGGAAGTGTCGGCGGCAATGTGACCTACTTCTACAACTGGACACCGATCCCCCAACACTTGGTTGCCGTCTACGACTTTGTCATCGAGAATGGAATCCGCATCCCGGCTAGAAAGCATCTCCGCGCCTGCGTCTGCCGTATAAAGCCCTGTGTCAGGATCTGCTGCCCGAGCGGACAGCTCTACGACGCGGACACCAGACTGTGTTCGGTTCCCAGAAAGGGACTTCCCACTCTGCCGACCCACAGTCACATGGAGGTCCAGCTCCTCAACGGCAGTCTCCAGCAGCTGGAGCTGGGCCCGGCTTTCAGTATTCACATCGACACTCCCTGCAAGCACATGAAGCCGGTCACCAAGGCTTCCGAGTACGTGCACTGGACCCTTCATGAGGTTGAAACTAGAACTAGAGCTTGAGGTTCTTTCGGATATCGGTAACCTCTTTTTTTATCCCCAGAACGGAACGGTCAGCCATCGGGGTCACGTCTTCTCCAAGCACTACTGTTTCACGCCCCTGCTCCTGGGCAACTCCACCTGGGACTGGCAGCCGCTGGCCTGTGCTCCCGAGAAGTTCCACTTTGTGCTGGGAGTACGGGAGTGGACCTATGCCATATGTAAGTAGGCCTTGTGCAGTGATACAGGCCATTCGATTGCTTTCCATTTCTGGTGGGCCAATGTTTGTGTTTTAAAAATAGTACGCGTATGAAAGTAATTACTAAAATAACAAAAGAAAACCGCTGGTGTCGATGGATGGTTTGGAGGTGTGAGATTATCTTCTACCACACTGAGAGAAACCCTCCGCTTTAATACAGAACATAAAACTATGCATTTTATTAATAACGCTCCAAGTTGCTAAGAAAGTTCCAGAGAAATGTGTTTCATCTGATTGTGATTCGATTTTATTGCCCCTCCCACTCGATAGGTCTTCTGATCTCCATAATATCCATGTTTATTGTACTAATGGTGTATCTGCTGTGCTCGGAGATGCGCAACAGCTTCTACGGTGTAGCCATCAAGGCCTACTCGATCTGCATGATCTTGGGATATGCTCTCTTGGCTTATCTGACGCTCCACAACCCCTCGAACCTCTCCAATGCCGCCTGTCGTATCCTACGTGAGTGATCTCTTGGATTTACTTTCTAGACATACAAAACTTCTATAATCTGACCCTCAGCTAGCTTGACCCTGATGTACTTGGTCTTATCCTTCTACATTTTGAGCTTCATCTCCTTCAAGCTCTACCTGAGCTTCCATGGCGTGGTCTTCACGAAGCTCATGTTCTGGCTGATCTTCACCCCCATCGTGATAATTGCCATCGGTTGGTCCTTCTATGTGGGATTCAGCTACTACGGAGCTCGGCTGGTCTTTGGGGGAGATACCTGCTGGTTTGATCGTGAGTGGTTGATGATTCTCCTGGTTTAATCTCTAACTGAAGTGCATCCACAGCTCGTAACTGGTCCATCATGCTCTACTTGTACGCCCCTGTGTTTGTGGCTTGTGCCATCAGCGGATTCTTCTACATCCTCAGCTTGATTTACATCAGCGAACAGCCGGAGATTGAGACAGAGAAGAGGTTCGAGTCCATTGAAAGGAACCGCTTCCGATCCTTCTGGAAGTACTTTGTCTACACGGCGGTGGTCTGGTTCGTGTGGGTTTGCTCCTTCGCCTTCAACTACTACAGGGAGGAGAGGTCGCATCTCAACTATGCCGTCTGCTTCTGTTCGGTAAGTTGGCATATAGGCTTACTATTACTAGTAACTTCACATAAGTCACCTGATAATTTCAGGCTTTCCATGGATTCGCCGCCCTTTATGCCCTGATTGGAAAAAACCAGCAAATTCAAAACTTTTTGCGGCGCATTGACAAGTGAGAAGCGTTTATCTATAAAGTGCTATTAATTCCTATCCACCATCTCCCCCACAGCGAGGAAGACACCTGCGAAAACTCTGTACCCCTGTCGAGTTTCGGTTGAAAACCTTACAAATTCAAACCAGAAGTTTCGCGGCATTCAGTGTTGAATAATACATTATTGTGTGTACTTGTAAAAATGATTTACTTGACATGGAGAAATACATGTTTGTGGAAGTAGAAAAGAGCCTCTGTAGATTTCCGTAGTGGCGCTTTTCAAACCAACTTTCAGTTAAGAATTTAATTCAAAATCGAATATTAGAGATTTTTGAAATATTTTGTTTAAAATTTGAATTGTGGCTAAAACCCCCATGAAGATTTGTTTTGAATTAGATTTGTGTTTTTCCCCCTAATACCTGCCCCAATACTTGAAACAGTTTGCAGAAACCGAAAAGTACTGGCTTATCCAATTTGGAGCTCCCCATCATCATCAGAAACACACAACAAAAGCTATCCGGAACTCTGGTCAGCAATATACACGTAAATAACGTAATTTACACAACACAAAACAAACTCTGAAGTTGGCCGAAAGGCAGCTCCAACTCCAGCTCCAGCGAGAAGTCTGGGGGGCACCACAGAATCCAATTCACGGCAATCCAGACCAAAAGCACCCATTCCTTTTGGACTTGCAATTCCCTGGACCGTGGTCGAGTGCACCCTCCTTGCATCCACCACCCACTCGGATCACCCACTCCCACATGCACTTCTCTATTTAATAAGTGCCCGCCGATTTTGTTTGGCATCAGAGGTCAATGGCCGGGAAGAGAGCGAAAACGAGAACGAGACCGAGAGCGGGTGCAAGAGAGCCTGCATCCGAGGAAAGGATTCAAGGATGCAGGGGAGCTGCTGCCATCGAGGGCAAGGAATCAAGAGGAATGTGAACCGGAGGGGGCTCCTCTCCGATTGCCGCTCTCTTGATGTGGCCTCGCCCAACATCATGAACCCTTGGCGGCGCACGACCGAAGCTTCGGCTTCGCTTTGGTCCTGTTCCTTTTGGCTGGGCGTACAGCAGCGGAATACAGGATACACACTGCCAGCCCGAGCCACACGACAGAGCACGACGTACGTACTTATATATACATATAAAGATGGATCGATAAAACGTAGTAAAATGCCCGTAGTAGTAATGGAAGCTGGAACGGCACCCGGCAAACACAAATGCATTTCAGGACCAGCATCCTGCGCACTGGAAACGCGCGAGAGGTAGGACATGTTTGGCGCGTTTTTCAGGAGCGATGTGCATTTGTGGTGTGTGAGTATCTCGTTTGCTCGGTTCGTTGGGTGTGGAGTTGAATTTAACTAGGAGCAAGGAGCAGCAGCTTCCCAACTTGGCCGCGCCCTCCTCGGTCCCGCCTCGGCCCTCCCCACAAAGTGGCTCCTACCCTCAGGTCCTACCTCTCCACCCATCCGTTTGTATCTCCTGGAAACGGAACTAACATGAAAATTAATTACTAAATGACATTATGCTTTTTAATGGCCCGATGGCAGTTAAAGGATATTAGACAACCCATTAGGTGACTTGCTGACTGCGACAGGATAGCCACGCCCATGGACTGCGGTCACATATACTCAGGTTGCTAGTCGATAGTCGGGTTGAATGTTATCAGTAACTTGAAGCTAGAAATGGCCTTATTAAAAACCCTTAAAACTATCAAATAAGAAAGCAAAGCCAATACCATAAATAACTCTACGATTTCAAGGAAATATACAACTCGACGGTTAATTTATGCCCATAAATGTCCCCGACAAGCAATTGACAAATATATTTTTTTCACCCATTCCCTCCAAAAGTCACGTTTCATAATTTATGAATAAAAAAAAAAAAACGTGATTAAATGATTAATTAAAAGCATGGCAGTAGAACGCAACTCAGCCACGCAACCCATCATAAATTCATTCATGAAAACCCCGGGCCAGTTAGGTGCTACGGGGAGGTAACTATTTTGGACTGGAGGTACTACCTTTGATTTCTTATAAGTCGTATCTCTTCCCCTTCCCCACTAAAATGAAAAAAAAATATTTCGGGGGTCGGGAGGTGTCGGGCCATGCTTCCAAAGTGGTTACCGCGTGCTGTGCTCTGGTTTCTCAGCTGCAATGACACCTTTTCCATTCAACTCACTTGTCCGAGAAATGAAGAAATTTTATTGCTTCGTCCAACTCCATTTCTGGCTTTCATTATTTGTTCGGTATTGTTTGTTTAGCTTTTCTGTGGTGTGGCTGTGGGACTCTTGAATTCTTCGTGCAGGGCCCAAAATGTTTCAACCGAGGGCTTTGGGCGATCCATTGAGAATTACTAGACCTTGGGAAACCAATTCAGTCAGAGTACTTTAATTATAGTTTCTATATCTGTAGTTTCCTAGGATATTTTGGTGTTACTTCCCTATAACCTCCTTTATAAGAAACTCTCCTCCAAGTCGAGCATCTCTAACCGGAGTGAGCCATTGTTTGATGATATTTTATGGTTGCGGCACGTGTAAATGCTTAACACCATTTTTCAAGTTTTCTTTTGGCTTTTTGGGAGCTCTTGGCTGGCTTTCTATGGACGATGCTCCGTAATCGTTTTAAGCGTTAAGAGCAGCAGTGGCAGCAGCAGCGTTTTGCGGAAGCAATTAAAAGAAGAAACCCAATGCCGCTTCACACATTTCTATTATATGATCCATCTATCTATGAGCAATAGTTCGAATCAAAGCATTAACTTAAGGGAGATCAGTCAAAGGGCGACCTGATGGTTCGTTGGGCAAAATGAGTTTCAACATTCCAGGCCTGTGGCCTGTGGCGTGCCACTTGCGCTAGCGAGGCCCCCATTCCCATGCAACAATGTTGCAAAGGAGCACATCGTGCCGACAGCGGACGTTGTTGCAAATGCAACAAAAACAGGAGAGACAACAGCGACATCGCAGTGGCATGAGTATGCGTTTTTTTCGCCTGCCCCTTTGCTTTTCGAGGGTATCTATGGAATGCATTCTAAAGAAAATCGAGACTAACTGGATTTAAGATATCCAGCCAAAGATAAATATCATTCACCATCGCTGTAGTTGGTTTTGAGAAGAAATCTATTTCAATTATCCTATTCAGTCTTCTATATTTATACCAGAATGAAGCTACGAGATATCCATCAGTCTACTAAACGCTGCCCCACTTGACGTTGTCTTCTGTGAATGCCTCAGTCCATTGAGGGCGATCTCCGGGGAGGCATTCCAGCGCCATGCGAGCTTTTGCCGTTTTTGTTTGCGGGTCAACTAAAGAACTGAAGAACCAGACGATCCGATCCGAAATGGCAACGGGGAAGGACCCCAAGACTCAAGCATCTTAATGGCTGTAGTGCGAAGCTCCGAGCTGACAGTAGAACACTGCGAGGGGGATGCGAGGAGGATACGAGGCGGGAGGAGCAGGGTGCCGGCGAATCCATTAAGTCAAATGATGGGCAGTCGCCCAGATGCTGCCGCCCGAGGCAACAATGTTGCAACTTCAGCAACGACATCGGCAACGACGACGACGACGGCGGCGGCACATTAATGAAGTGATTTGCACTTTTTTCCAAATCCTTCTGACCACCAACAGCAGTGTGAAATTGGCGGGAGGCGGGCAGTCCGCTTCCAGGAACAATCCAATCCGAGAAGCCCATCGAGTTTCCCGTTGGGGCAGCAGTGGGTGAGATTTATGACAGCATCACTTGTCAGGGTGCGAGGTTAAAGGCACCGCATTCCAACCAGAAAATATCAAGCGCCGTGAGAGATCTGGGATGTGTGGCAAGTGCTTTAATTAAGGAGGGGGACTAAGTGCTTCACCCTATCTCTTTCTAGATATTCAATAGACTAAGTTAAGGGTATGATCTTCTATTTAATCTCACTTCCACTTTCATGAGAAAGGGGGATAGCTTCCCCACGATATCCCCACTTCGGTTCTCGATGTGGCTGCCGCGTCTGGCCAAGTGGACATTGACCGTCTGCGCGAGAGTCAACGATCTCCAAACGAGTCAAACATTAAAAATAGCAACCGATGCTCTAACGTCTGACCTCCGCATCCCCGCGGAAAACCCCGCTCCAAGCCCCCTCCCCTCCCAGCCAAGAAAGGTAAATATGCAGACGTCCGCAAAATGCCAAGCAAAGGCAACCCAGAGAGGCAACCAAAAGGCCCCAACAACGCCGGGCCAGCAGAAGAAACAAAGCAAGGCAAACCAGAATGGCAGGCCAGAGATGAGTCGACTGCAGTTACCATGCCACAAGATGCCTCAAGACGACCCACTATCTAATACTTCTTCCTCTAATATACCCTTCAAATAGTTAGTATTCCAGGGTAGCCGACAAATACAACAGGATCTTTGGATGTTGGCGGCGCTATCAACGAAATTCCACAATTTGATCGGCGAGTAGACCGAGGGGGAAGAGCCCGCCAACGCGGCAAGGGGGAAGAATGGCAAAGAGAAGAAAAGATCGCAGACCGAATGCAAAGAATCAAAAATGATGCACTGTGTGGTGTGTGCGATGGGCTGGGTCCGATCCGAGGAGACTGAAAACTGACAAAGCCATTAATTACTGATCGCCGATACCCGTCCGAGGCCGGCGCTCAATGAAACATCGCCCAACCACGAGGCAGAGGGCTCGGCCCGGGATGGGGTACACGACCCCCCTGACATGGCGCTAAGCGAAGCGAAGAAATGCTGCCCGAAGACTGGTCAAGTGGCATAAATCATGGTCTGGATTGACCTGAAATCCGCTTTAAAGTATCAGTTGGTAGTCTATAGGATCTTGAGCTCTTAATAAGGCAGAGGATAAGGTTCATTTGAACTACTGATAGTGGGCTTAATGCCCTTCTGAGCTTCTGGATAAGCATTACTAAATAGACTCCGTTTTTGGGATAAACCCTGCTAATCCTTGAACCTCTGTTTTGTATGCACTCCTAGCTTTATGTCACCTTCCCGATACATTCATTTATAAAACCAAATACGATCCCAAACAAGCAACGCGCTGCCGCCTCACCGATCCCAACGCATTCGCAATGTCCGGCCACTCGAAACAGATTGTCCTTGAACGTTTAGTCGAAATTTATGGAAGCCATTGAACT